GCTTAGAATATCTAACCTGGTATTTTTGTACTCTGAACACAAACAATTGTTGACTGCATAGATTTCAAAACTAGAAATAACCAACATGGGATTAACATAAAATATATGTACAAATATACATATATATATATATATAAGAAGCCAGAACCTATATTAAAAAAAGCATAAAGCATGATGGACTAGAAGTCCGTCAGGAACATATTCGTTTAAATAATTGACAGAAATTAACACAAGTTGACATGAAATAACTAGGTAAACAACAAATACCCCACTGACAATGAAGTAGGTCTGCCATGCTGTGTCACCTATAATCAGTGTGTCATGTTCATGTTCATGTTGAGCTAAAATAACACAACTGTGTATCGCACTCATATCTTCTTTTTCTTGTCGTGTCAATTAAACTCTAAAACCATCACCAAAAACAGGAATTACCACCCCTAGCAACAACAAGTGTATGTATTTGCTTTACAGACTTAATATACATGTTCCTTATTGGTGGGAACAATTCATTAAATTGACACAAAGGAGTGCAGCACCATAATATTATACCTCGCTTTATAGTAGAACATATTAGAAGCTCACTAAATAACTTATAATGCGTCCCAAAAGATGCATATGCAGCATTTTGTGATTACAGTTAAGGTTTGGTGAATTCTGAAAAAATCGCTGGAGATTTTTAAATAGAATTAAAAGAATTTTAGAGTTGAGTGCCAAGGCTTTGCAAGTTCAAATGCTGCACTAGGGTTCTGACCTGAAATCATTATTCTTTTAATTTAAGTAATCTGGTAGAAGTTTCTCAACCATTCCCCACCATAAGTTTCCCTTTCGATTTCCCTTTTTATTTTTATTAGACTGCAGTTAAATTAATTTAAACTCCAAGGACAAACAAATATGTTGAAAAAACAGAGACTTTGGGCACATAAGTGGACACTTATCCCTTGTTAATGGTTGCCCAGTCAAGAACACCGTTCCCCAATAACAAACATATAGGAAAAACAAAGACTTTGAGCACATAAGTAGACACTTATCCCTTGTTAGTGGTCGTCCAGTCAAGAAAACCGTTCCCAAATAACAAACATATAGGGAAAACAGTGACTTTGTGCACATAAGTGGACACTTATCCCTTGTTAGTGGTCGCCCAGTCAATAACACCGTTCCACAATAACAAACATATAGGAAAAACAGAGACTTCGAGCACATTAATACAAAAAAAAACACCGTTCCCAAATAACAATCCCTAGTAGACACCTCCAATATGTGCTGGTTAGAATACTATATTCTCATGGTGGGAAGTAATGGAACTGCACAGAAAGGAAACTTTTTGGCATTTTACTAGTTTTAGCTACCAAGGAAGCGAAGTATTACTAGGACTCATAGCATTAACATTAACACATTTCAAACTTTCATTTCCACATTCCCGCAATTTATCAGCAACCAAACAATTGTGTTCAACAATTACCTCATTGACCTCCTCGGGAGGAGGCGGCAGGGGCAGGCGGGGAGAGAAGAACTGTTGGAGCTTCGACACGTCGACGGCGAGGTCAACTTGACACTGAGGGCACCGGAATCTCGCGAGGCCATGAGGCACGTTGAGGATGGCCTTGCAGTTGGCGCAGGGGAGCTGGATCTTCGTGGGATCGACGCCATGGGCCGCCCCGTGGGGCGGCAGCGGAGGAGGAACTGTGCCCTTGTTGGGCCCATGTGGGGGCAGCGGGGCATGGGCCGGGGCCCGGGTCATCAGCTCCGGCGGCAGCATCTGCGGCAATTGGCACGTGTCGCACGAGAATTCGGTGGCCTCCACCGTCAGGATCTTACCGCAGCCGGCGCAGCGCACCTGCACTCCGCCTCCGGTCCCACCACCACTCTTGGATGGCGGTGGGACTGAAGGAGGTTGATGCTGCTGCATCGCACTGGATCAGTATCGCCCTCCTCGTTTTGCTCTCTCTAATCTCTTTCTCTCTGGCTCGCTCAAACGGCTTCAATTTGGTTGAATTGAGCTTTGGATTAAGAGAGAGAGAGAGAGGTTAAGGCGCGAAGAGAGAGGGTTTGGGAGTTTGGGGTTTTTTTTCCCACTTTCTCTCTGTGTGTGTTTTTGGTTTTTGCCTCGGTGGAGAGTAATTATGAGATCAAAGTGACGTTTGACATTTCGTTCTTTATCCGAGCCAACTGTAGGCTCGGGCTGGCACGTGCATTAGGCACGTGACATTCCCCATTTTCAAATTTTTCTTATTTTCCTTTGCCAATACTGTGAAAATCTTGTTGCCAAAGAAGTTGGTAGTTGCTACTTGCTGGTTACTTTCTACATTCAAGCTACTCTCCTCAAACCTCCTATTGTCATCTCCTTGTTTTTTGTCTCACCAAATCCACAAACATCCAATGGCCAAAGAGAAAAATCCACAAAGCAATTCCAACAATCCACTCCTTTCCTTACGGTCACTACATCACCCCACCCTCATAGATAGAACAATGACATTGTTATATTTTTAGTCTCTTTTTATGATTTTGATGAGAGACTCGTTTAGTTTTGGAAAATGTATCACAATTACAAGTTATTGGGAGCAAACTAATTGATGGAATGAACGAAATGTAAATAGTTAATATAACATGGCCATAGATTTTAGGTTGTAACTTTATCGAGTGAGTTTGTTGATGTTGCACCCATGAAGTATGGAAGGTGTCAACTAATGGGAACTACTTAGGGAGGAGTTAGGACACGAACTAAGAGCATCTCCAACAGAGATGTTATTTGTCAGGTGGATGATCTAACAGAAAGTTTTGATAGCAAGTGATATTCCAACCAATGTGTTAAAGCTAACTTGGAATGAAGGCTAGAGTTATTGACCGCAAATTTGACAGCAATGTCAAATTCATTTTTTTGAGTTTTTTTAATAGTAGAGTCCCATCTAAATGCAACTTTCTTTATTATTATATATATTTTTAATAGCTTGGGTCCCATTTTGTGATTAATATTAGTAAAATAATAAAATGATGTTTCGGTTGGAAGAGGATATGGAAGATGTTAAATTTCACTACCACATTAGCCATCAAATTGAAATATGACATATCTTATTTGACATCTCCCTTAGAGATGCTCTAAGAGAACTATGGATTACTTAAAGTAGAGGAATCAACTGTATTTCTACATAGAAATTGATGATAAAAAAGGCACTAATTTGATGACTTATTACGGGAAATAAGAAATAAGAGCATGTTATTGAACACGTTTGCATCATAATGCTTAATTGGTTTTGAAGTTTAGAGATTGGATTGGACGTAATTGTCATGAATTTTCTTGTTTTGTGGTTGGGATTGGGAGGACTAGTTAGTTACCTTATATGTCCTATTATGCTAATCAATATAAACTTCTTCTTCTATTTTTTAAACGTTAGAAAGAGAAAAGGGGGAAACTTACACACACAAATATCATAGAGGCTTGAACTTATGACAACTTAGGAGCACCTAAAGACATGGGTTAATCCCACCAATGGCGGACCCAAGAATTTTTAAGAGAAGGGGCAATATTTGAATGAGGATTACTAATACCATTTCATAACTTTATACTTACAAAAATATAGAGAGAGCCACATCAGAAAATAATAATTATAAAAAACACATATTATAAAAAAATTAGAAATAAAAAAAGACCAAAAGGAAAAATAAAATTAAAAAGAGACCTTGCGATTGCAATTTGGGTCTATTGGCTTCTTCAATTCAATTCAAATGAAGTGAATATGAACTCTCTTTATATTAAATTATTAATAATACTAATTGCAATTTGGCAGCAGGTTCTGTAGAATATAAGGCTTTAACTATTTCTTTATTTTTTGCCCTAGTTCAAAACGACGTTGTTTTGGTCAAGAACTTTAAAAAAAGTACGCAGATTGTGCTGCGCGCAACAACCCAACAATACAACACCACAACAAACAAAAAGGAGTTTCGCTAAGGCATTTCCTTAAGCAGATTGGGGGCACTTTCATGGCAGAGTTGGGCAAATTGCACCACTTCGAAAGCTTTTTTCAGAGCGGGGAGGTGCATCTGCCTTGATATTCTAAACTTTCTTAGCCTTGATGATGTACAAGAGGTGAAAATCGTAAATGACCGAGCAACTTTAAAAAAAAACAATAGAAGAAATCACTAGACCATTTCCAAGAGGCCTATGTCACAGGCCTTTCTCTAAAGAAAAGAAAAGGACTGCACGGCAAAGCCCATTGCACTTGGAGCACATAAGTTTTCGTAAGTGGACTGAATAAGTTGGATTTGGGAAGAAAAAAAAAAAGTTTGTCCCATGAAAACTTCACCCGGCTTAGGTATTATTGAGAAAGTACAAAAAAAATTGATTTGGGATTCTCTCTCCATTTTTACTTATAATTCCTCTCCAAAAATAGGTAGATTTCACCAAGGAATTGATGCAATCTTGTACGAGACATTTATTTATTTTTCTTCTTTTTGAGGGGGGAATATTGTGGGAGGGACTAGGAAATTTCCCAAAAGTCTTTAGAATAAGAATAAAATAAGAATTTTTTAAAATGTAAAGTGTTAGAGCATCCAAGTAACCCATATGCTTCTCCCTAACGGCTCTTTTTTCACTCATTTAATATAAAAAGTATGTCATATAATGTAATATTCTAGTATCGGGAAAATACGTTTGTGATCGTATTTCAATATCATATAATAATTTTTTTCAAGAAATCAATTAAAATTAAGTTTGGCCCATTGAATACTCTTGGAAGAAGCACTTATGCTCCTTCACTGATAAGCAACGTTTCCATTAAGAAGCCAAGCTCCCTTTTATTTTTTTCTTCAAAAAGTCGTCTTCTGAGTCTGCTGCTTTAAATTGTTCACAAAAGCATAAACAAAAAAAAAGCTACACATATTCCTTCCTTCAGCTCCTTGCAGCTCCCATAATTATATTTAATTTACCTATAATTAGCTCTTAATTTGTTCTTTGCTGTATCTTTACATCTATATATTTACTTGGGTTGGGTTGGAGAAGACATAAGATGTTATGGATGGGCAGCGTCATGTCAATTTTCAGGAAGAAGCAGAACAGCCGTGGAATTCCAAGAGCCAGCTCTGGTGGGCCCAGCAGCAGCCCTAGCATAACTGCCAGAACGGCGTCGTATGGGTCTAGCATGTTCAGGAAACCCAGCATGAGTGAAACCAGTGGCAGCAAACCAGACCAGGGTACAGAGAAGAAGAAGCTCTCTACCCAGAAGAAGCAGAAGTACGCTTATATCCCTGATAACTTTTCAACCCTGGAACAGGTCTCTCTCTCTCTCTCTCTCTCTCTCGCAAAAACAAAAATTAATTTCTTGCTTCTTTGGGTTCATTTCTTTCTCTGAAATTGAAACTAAGCAGATAACAGAGGAAGATTTATTCAATAAATTCACATAGAAAATGGGGAATCTTTAAATTTTGTTGAGAAATTATTCTTTCTTTTAGAAGAATCAAATAAATTGTCTGTTTTCAGAAGTGTTCCACATAGTTTTCCAACATGTTCGTAATTTTTTATATACTTAAAATATTTATTCTTTGTTCTTGCATATAGCTTTCTCTGGATTTCTGTTTTGTTTTTCTCCTGGAAGTATCCCTTTGGTTTTTGTTTTGAGGGGTTTTGTTTTAGCTGTAAGGTTGCTATGATGGACTTTTCTCAGAAAATCGAATTACAAATAATTGTATAAATAATAACAATGTCAGCCTCTAGTCAAAATTAATCTATATTTTCTCTCTCTCTCTCTCTCTCTCTCTCAAATTCTTCCTCAAGTTCAAACTTTGAAATGTCATAGCTTTCATTTTTCATAAAAATAAAATGAAAACTGAAAGAAAGACATGATAGTAGTAGCGGCCGTTAGTTTTGGTTGGTAAACATTTTAATACCATCTTCGACATCTGAAATATAGTATTTAAGGCTAATAAAAATTCTTAACCAAGTCCGTGAGCGGTGAGAGAAATGAGTTAGGATTAAGACTGAGAGTTTTGAAAAAAAATATATCAAGAAAGCTAATCCATAATTTAAAAAAAAAAAAAAAAAAAAAAAAAAATGAAGTCATCACAACTCGAAAAATGTGAAGGTAATGCCATGTTTTTCATACAAGCGATATTTCGGAATTCCCATTTACATATATACGCAATATAAGGGAAATAAAATAAAAGATTTCATAATTATTGGCTAGTGGTTTTGGTGCTATGATCTATTTTATGGTGGTTGGGCGTGGACCCATCTCAAGCAATTCAAAATTGATAACTAAAATCCAAAACAGTCGGTGATCTCAAAGGCATTATAGCGTTTTTATTTTCTTTTTATATAAGTGGTCTGCTTGCTCCAATAATCATACTTACAAAACATACTGGGGTCTACTACTTAAAAGTAATTTAGCTTTTCTAGTAAGTGGGTGGGTGGACGTCTCAGTGATGGCATGTATGTTGCTATCCAATTGGATATTCTCTCACCTTCTAGCTTCTAGTCAAGCTGTGGTAGTGTTGACTTGGAGAGTCCTTTAAACTTGTGTCCAAACAAATTGGAAAAGTGCTTTTTAATTTTAATTGTATGGGATTGTCTTAGAACTACTGTTTGATATGATACCTTTAAGTCAATTGTTTAGAATTTCTAATAAAACAACAAAAATAATATAAGGTCCTCTGTTCGAACCCCTCGTTTCTCGTTGATACGAAAAGATTTTGAAATTTCATTTTTCAGTTTAATTATGTTAGAATAATGACATGGTTTTTATTTTTGGTTGAGAAAGAATGGCATGGTATGATTGTTTATAATTTTTTTACATAAAAAAAAGACTACACCCATGTGGCTAAGACTATGTTCAATTTATTTAACATGTTAGGTTAGCTATTAGTTGTTATCAAATAGTTATAGTAACCATATATGTTGCACACGTTTTTTTGCGTTACTGACGTCAACGCGTCTGCATTCATTTGATTGAAGAATCACGAATCTGTTTTTTTTTTTCTTTTCTTTCTGAGGCATCTTTTGGTTTTGGTTTATTTAGCAATAGCACACAGACTAGGGCTTGCCTTTGTAGGTGGTCCTACAAGCCTACCCCACTGGTGGTCTTGTGAATGTGAATGTCATGATTCAAAGTAAGATTGTGAAACACGAGGGGTTTCTTCTCTCTCATTATCACTTCACATGTTTCATGTTTTAAGCTTCTAAAATAAAACGTAATTGTTGAAATTTTTTACAGTCGTACAAGTTCCTTGACTAGTTTATGTACTGCCGGTTTGACCGCCTTGATACAAAACTGGTTATCTGTAAATGCGGTTAGCCATATTATAGAAAATATGTAGGTTCAAGATACTTGATATAAATTTGAATAAAAGAATAATTATTAGGGTAAGTTTGTGCATTCGAACTATGTAATGAAGATTGCTTAAATGGACTGTCATAGTACAAGTTGTATTTGTCTCATTCCTTTTGCAGGTGACAGATGCCTTGAGAAAAGAAGGCCTAGAGTCATCTAATCTGATTGTTGGAATTGATTTTACAAAAAGCAATGAATGGACAGGTTTATTGATGTACAGAAAAACTGCAATTTTCATATATATATATATATATATATATATCATAAAATATAAACAGATAATTGTAACTTGTATGTCTTTGAAGCTGATTTGCTGTTGTTTTAACTGAAGGCAAAGTTTCATTCAACAACCGGAGCCTGCATGCCATTGGCAATGAACCTAATCCATATGAAAAGGCTATCTCCGTAGTAGGAAAAACTTTGGCTCCATTTGATGAAGACAACTTAATTCCTTGTTTTGGCTTTGGTGATGGTAAGGCCCTGCTCCCTCAAACAGTTGAAGCTCTGGACAATTTTCTTTCATTTCCTATTTTGATCACTGGATTGACTTCAACTTTTCCCACCTTCTTTTTATAGCTACCACTCATGATCAAGAGGTGTTTAGCTTTCACACTGATCATTCACCCTGTCATGGTTTTGAAGAAGTTTTGGCCTGCTACAAAAGAATAGTTCCAAGTTTGCGACTGTCAGGTTGGTTGAATCTTATCATTTTGTGTTCTTTATGAATTATAATTTGGCTTTTGATAAGATTTACATCTTAATACATATATGTTGTAATTAAGGGCCAACTTCTTATGGACCTGTAATTGAGGCTGCAATGGATATTGTGGAGAAAAGTGGTGGCCAATACCATGTATTAGTTATCATTGCAGATGGCCAGGTTTAAATCTAGTGCTTTCTCTGTCTCTCCTCCCTCTCCCATGTATGTGAACAATCTTTTTCCTTTTGCTCCGAGTGAACAATCTTTACTAAGTACGGCTTCCTTAACTGTAAAGGTCACAAGAAGTGTCAATACTAGCGACAATGAATTGAGTCCGCAGGAGGAGAAGACAATCAGATCAATTGCAGATGCAAGGTAGAACCTGGAAATTAAGCATATTTATGCAGTTGTCATAACAAAAGGCACTAAATGTGTCAATTTATCAGTCATTACTTGCACTAATATAGCAGGCATATTGAGTTGAACCTACAAAATTTACTTTAAAAACTTATGTAAGCAGTTTCTATCCACTCTCTATTGTTCTTGTTGGAGTCGGTGATGGTCCCTGGGAAGACATGAGGAAATTTGATGACAAACTCCCTGCGCGCGAATTTGATAATTTTCAGGTATAATTGTTGCACTAAGTTAATTTGAAATGGAGAGTTTTTAAGCATACATTGGTTCACTAATTAGATTCTTTTTGTTTGTAGTTTGTAAACTTTACTGAAATTATGTCTAAACCTTCAACTCCTTCTGAGAAAGAAGCTGCTTTTGCTCTTGCTGCCCTCATGGAAATCCCAATCCAGTATAAGGCAGCTGTTGAACTTGGTATACTTGGGTATGGTTAGCCAAATTTTCTATGAACTTTTAATTTTAATTTTCTTCATTGTCTGAGTAGGGAACTTTCTATAATCTTGGTACCTTCTGATTCACTAGCATTGCCTGAAAACTTATTTCTGCAAGCCACTCGAACACATTTAGACAACCAACAATTCAGATGAGGATATAACCTCAAAACTGATGTGAATATAAGGAATTTTTATTAAAGATTTCAAAGTTGTTATTGGAATGCAATAAAATGAGTTATATTTCATTCCTATTGTAGTCCCAACCCAAACGTGCCTTCTACAGAAATATCATTTTGATTGAACTAGCCTCTTGGCCTCTTGCATGGTTTTTTTAACATAAATCATATTGTACCTGGAAAAAGACGTACGACAGGGAAAGGAAAGAAAATTGTTCCACGCCCTCCACCAGTTCCTTACACTCATCGTGCACCGCCAACTCGTGAACCAAGTGGTCTTTCAGCAGCCGTGGGGGATGACCGAAGCGAGATGGTACAGTTAACTTACCTGTGTTCTTACAGTTTCTGTGTGTAGTATGATATTGATGAAAAAACAGAAAGGGGTACATATTGATGAAAAAAAAGGTGGAACATGCATAAATATGAGTCTGAAGTAGTTAGGAATAGGGCTGAAATAGAGGTTTACCTGCTCAGTTGAAGCTATCCAATGGTTGAAATTCGGGTAACAAATCCTTTATAATGTTTGTGAACAAATTGGTAGGATGGTCTAGCCATACTGAAAGATGTTTAATTTCCAACACATCTTGCCCAATCTGAAGTTATTGTAGTTTGTTGGCTTTGCCATTCTGAATCGTCTTTGTTTAAAGATCCGATTGGCAAAGCTCTCAATTTAGGGGTTTCATGTGAGATTACTGATTTATCTTCTTTTCAATTTGAATGCAGGCCTGCCCAGTCTGTCTGACTAACAATAAGGACCTAGCCTTTGGCTGTGGACACATGGTGAGCTGCATTAGAAGAACCTTTGCCTTTGTTCCTTGCTCTTTTACATGTCATTAACAATTGTTTCGTTGCAGTCTTGCAGAGATTGTGGACCAAGATTGTCCAACTGTCCAATATGCCGCCAGCCAATCCGCAGCCGTCTTAGGGTTTTTACCGTATAACTGACAAAGTGATTCATGTGTATATCTAGAATGTCTGTTTTCTATCATTGTCTCCCAAATATGGGTTTGCACCAGATTGTACAGTTTTCTAACCCAAATGTGTAATGCTGCTTCAGTTTTTAATAAACTATTAAATATTTGGTTACTTTAAATCGCTAGAACTTGTGACCTGTGCTTTTCTGCTACTCTCTTCCAAATTCCAGCTCTTGAAACAGCCTCCTCTGTTCATTCTAGCTCCAAATTACTCTCTCATTGTCCAATACTCATGAGAAATAACACAATAGCTTCAAATTAGAGATGGAGTTCGGCAAGGTTATTATTATGAGAATTCCTTTTGTCAACATTCCCGAAGTGGCGAGTGAATCTGATCCAGTTCTAATTCATTTTTCAATTAGTTTGCACACAATGAAGTCGGTTTTGTCTTCCTGAATTTCGGAGTAAATTAGATCCAGTTCTGATTCCTTCAATTTGCAAAGGGAATCAAGTTAATACAAAAATGAGAAGTGAAAACTTGTAGTACAGCAAGGCACAAGAGTCGAGGTATCCAGCACAATTGCTCTAACAGTGACGGACCATTATAAGCAAATTTTCTTTACAAGGTACTGGACTAACAGTCCAAAGTATTTGCACCTTCCACTTCTTCTGAGGCACAACAATCCCATTAAACCACTACTGTTTGGTCTTCAATTATCCTATCCAATCTCTCCAATGTGTTGAAAATCTGGTCTGTATATGGGTGAGACTCATCATCTGCTCCAAATGTGTGGTATGTGCAGTCCATCTCAATTGAACTACTTCCGGTTGGCTTCTTGATGTTCTTGTCTCTGAGTAGCTTCCTCACTCTAGCTGCATCCTCCCATCTACATGCATCTTCATACATGCTGGCCAGAAGAATATACCTCCCAGCATTTTCAGGGTCCAAAACAAACAACTTCTCTGCAGCTTCTTCGGCGAGCTCTATGTTATTATGTATTCTACAAGCTCCAAGTAAGGCACCATATACATCTTTCCCTGCCTGGATGGGCATGCTCTCAATAAGCTTGAGCGCCTGGTGAAGTAACCCAGCTCTTCCCAGAAGGTCTACTACACAAGCATAATGTTTCTCGTTTTTCTCTACTCCATAATCTCCCATTTCCTCGAAAAGTTCCAGGCCTTTCGTAACCATCCCTGAGTGACTACAAGTGGACAACAAACACAAAAATACAACACCATCTGGGTGTAAGCCGGACTCCACAAACTGGGAAAACATTTGGAGTGCCTCATCTGCATGTCCATGCATTCCATAACACCTCATCATTGCACTCCACAACACTACGTTTTTTTCGCTGATTTGATCAAAAATAACTCTGGCAATGGTTACACGGCCACAACTTGCGTACATAGAAATGAGAGCGCTGCCCAAAGCAGCATCAACTTCCACACTTGACTTTATAGTGTAAGAGTGAATCCAAAAGCCCAATTCGATGGCTGATGCTTGAACACAAGCTGGAAGAATGGAAACAAGAGTGGCGTGATCAGGCAAGCTTGTGGCATGATCTTGCAACATAGCACGGAAAAGCACGAGAGCCTCATGCGGATATCCATTTGCCGTATACCCCGAAATCATGGAATTCCAACTAACAGAATCTTTCCAAGGGATTTCATCAAATACTCTTCTTGATATCTCAATTTCCTCGCACTTAGAATACAAGGCTATAAGAGCGTTCCCAACAAACAAATCTGAATGAAGCCCACATTTCACAACATGTCCATGAACAATCTGACCATGCTTTCCATCTTTCATTGCACCACAAGCCTTGAGCACAAAAGGGTATGTGTACTGGTTTGCAGGCACACCACTCAACCTCATTCTATCATACATTTTAAGTGCTTCAACAAAAGGCCCCACATTTGCATAACCCTGAATAACCATGTTCCACACAAAAACGTCTCTCTCCAACAACCTATCAAACACCTTCCGTGCAGTGTCCATGCTTGGTTCACTGCACTCAACATACTTGCCAACTAGCTTTGCAACTACAAATGGGTTTTGCTCAAAACCTCCGATGATTATCTGGGCATGCAGTTTTTTGATTGATTTGGTGCTTCTACAGTGTTGTAGCAAGTAGGTATAGTGATAAGAGTCTCTGTAATGAGGGGTCATGTATGTTCTCACACCACCAATGAAAAATCCTAATAACCTTAAGGGTTCCCTCCATGAAACTAATAAAAGCTCTGCTTGCCTAGCTAAACCAATCATTTGGGTCTTCAACAGCAGCACCATCACAGAAGACACAGGCAATCACCCAGATGCCACCATGGAAGCAGTCTTTCTGTCCTTGGTAGATAGTTTTCTTTTATTTTTTATAGTTGTGTGTAATTGACCAGAGTATGCCTTGGAATGGCCTGGCTGAAGCAGATAATTTGATGCCAATGTTACCTTAATTACTAATTATCGTAGGTAATCCCGTATGTAGCAGCAGAATTGTTAACAACATGAATCATTGACATAAACCTAGAAGAATAATCAATAATGGGTTCCAATATAGCACACCAACCAAATATAGGTTCTTTACATATTAATTTTGGGCGCGAAAAACAATTAAAATAATTAAAAATTTAGTGAGGAATGAAACCCGAATACTTCTATTTAAATATATATATATATATATATATATTTCTATTTCATATTACTGTTATATAAGTAATCACAGCAAGTTTCACTTAAACTGACCCGAACAGCGGATGGTGAAGCCCAGTGTTTAATTATAATATTAAGCCGTCCGTTTTCACGAAAATAAATAAATAAATAAAAATAAAAAAGAAAAACCCGTCCATTCCTATTAGAATAGTTAAAGTATTTTGTGAAGTAAATTAGGTTAGACTAATTGGAAGTTGAATTCAATCCTCTTGGGAATGACCTCGTATTTGCCATACTATATTACGATTGACCTTGTGTACTTGCGAGTATAATTTGTGTTTAGACTAACCTTTATAATCTCCATTTTTCAAGTTGTCTAAAATTCACAACATTTACACCCAAGAATCGTCTCTAGACACTTAGTTATATATTCTTAGCTCAATTTGATACTTTGGCTCTAAGTTTAAAAGAATTGGATATTGATCTGGCCAAGTGCACGCTTGTAATGGTCTTTGTTGTAGAGAACAAGAAGGTCTCCATAGAAAGGGTGGACATGATCCAGCCTAGGATTCTGGAGAGCTTCATCCCGTATGAAAATTATGTTGAGAACGTGAGAGGACTTTTGGACCCCTTATTTTCTTTGATATGACTTTTGGAACACATCTCATGAATTATTTACCTACACGCGTCTGTACTTGAATCTTTCAAGTAACCATTTAAACCAGTGGTTGGTTTCAGGCGAGACAAAACACATCACGCCATTAAACATCGTACATGATGGTTACTGGACCTATGCGATTTAGCCCCATTTTCGGATTAGAAAGATAAAAATATAAAGATGTGAAGAATAGAGAAATAGAATGTATAGAAAAATATGTACAATGAATAAAATAAGAGAGAGAAAAGTGAAGAGATAAATAGAAGAAATATGTGGAAAAAGAGAAAGATGAAAGCACAATAAGAACGGATATGGTTCACCGAAAAGAAAAAGAAATTGGACTAGAATAGTTATTTAGTTGGGTATAAATTGGAACTAAAACATTTTTGTATTAATTGAGCTAAAATATCTAGATATTATATTGGAATTACTAATGTTATTTGAATATTAATTAGGCTAACAACACCAGCAGGGGAGGAGCTAGAATTACAAGATTGGGGGAGCCGAGATAGAAAATATAAGTATATCAAATTTATATATGTGTTCAAAACACATGTTTGCACTAAAGTTTTCAAAATTAGCCATGTCTAATTTTTATTTTTATTTTAAGAGATTATTAATTTAAATTACAAGTTGTCTATTAGTAAATTGTATTACATAATATACTATAGGAAAGAGTTGAAAAAATGGGGGGACCAGGGCCACTCCTGGCCTAGAAGCTTCGTCACTGAACACCAGATGAGGTTTATCACGAAGCCAGTGGTCGAAATGTTCCCGTATCAGGTGAGAGGCTTAATTTGAACAACGTGTCACACAATTAAAACATCTATATGTCGTATGTGATGTCTATTGATGGGACGAAAAAAGCACATGTAAAATGTTATCTAGGAGGAGTAGTACATGACCCACACCTCTGCGTCTCTATATAAACCCCTCCAAAGAAGCTTGCTGTACACCAAGTTTCCATTATGGATTTGCAAGCTGATGAGCAGCAAATTCTAGAATGCCAGATGCAATCCCAAGCCTCTTCCTTGATACATGAAAGACGATCTGCCAATTACAAGCCAAATATTTGGAAGTATGGTTTCCTTGAATCTCTTAACAGCAAATACAACGTGAGTTATCTTTGTCATAATTAACTTCTCTATGGCTACTCGTCGATATTAATAACCTAAACTTCATTTAATGCTTACATATTAATTGGGTGCAGGGAGATGATTATACGAGGCAGTCTAAGAAGCTAATAGAAGATGTAAAGAACCATATGATGTTTGTTGAAACAAAAGATTTGATAGCTCAATTGGAGCTGATTGACAGCATCGGAAAACTAGGCCTCACGAACCACTTTGAAAAGGAAATTAAGGAAGCCCTAGACAGAATAGCATCTATTGAAAATAACGATCCCTACATGACAGAGAACCTTTATGCTACTGCGTTGCACTTTAAGATCCTTAGGCAGCATGGCTATAAAGTATCACAAGGTATATTATATAGATTAATTGCAACATTATCAAGCATACGTTTTGCATGTACTTGTGAACAACTCCCATAAATTTATCTTTTTTACTGTTATTTAAGTTTTCACATTAATATATAATGTATACAGATGTATTTGGTGGCTTCTTGGATGAGAGGGGTATGTTAGAGAAAAGCCATTTTTCAGATATCAAAGGAATGCTTGAACTTTTGGAGGCCTCAAACCTGGCTTTAGACGGCGAAAATATATTAGATGTGGCGAAAGCTTCCTCTACGGTAGCTCTCAGAGATTCCAGTATCTGTAATATTCTGGACAATAACCTTGCCAGGCATGTGGTCCATGCTTTGGAGCTTTCATCACATCGAAGAGTAGGGTGGTTTAATGTCAAATGGCACATACACGCCTATGAGAAAGACAATCACGTGAAAACCATTTTACTTGAATTGGCTAAACTTAACTTTAACATGGTTCAAGCAACGCTGCAAAAAGATATAAAGGAAGCATCCAAGTAAGTAAAAGCATAAATCATGTATCCTAATTCTTCAGAAAATAGAACAATATTATTTAACAACATTCACAACATAATGGTAACTTGCTGTTGCTTTGGGTTTTGACATGTCACTTAGGTGGTGGAAGAATCTGGGCCTCGCAGAACACTTGAAATTTGCAAGAGATAGACCAGTCGAGTCTTTCATGTTTGCTGTTGGATTAAATTTCCAGCCTGACTACACATCTTTTAGAATACGGCTTACTAAAGTCATCTACTTGATTCTGATAATAGACGACGTTTATGACGTCTATGGCTCACTGGAAGAGCTAAAGCTCTTCACCAACGCCGTCGATAGGTTAGCTAGTTTTGGCATAAAACAAATTAATTAGCAGTATTAGCCAATTAAATTAGGGTTAGTTTCATAATTAATGTCTAAAATTCTCATAAATTAAAAGTACCTTAAATTTAGGTGGGATGTTGGGGAAACTGAGCAGCTTCCAGAATGCATGAAGATCTGTTTCCAAGTGCTCTACAACACTACTTGTGAAATTGCTCATGAAATTGAGGAGGACAATGGCTGGAACCTAGTGTTACCTCATTTGAGCAAAGTGGTACTATGGCCTACCTAGGCCTGTTCCTTTTCTTTCATTATTTTTTTCTTTTAAAGTTTAATTTTATTTATCTTTATATATATGTGTGTGGGGTTAATCATTTTATTAGTCCCTGAATTTAGATTCGATTTGCATTTGAGTACCTCAATTTCCAAAATGATTCCCGTGGTTCTTAAAATTCACTTTCGTTGGGACAAATGGTCATGCCGTCAATTTTGTTAACTTTTTATGTTAAATGTAAGGGCAAAATGGTTTTTTTATATTAAAACCAAAAAATGAATAGAAAATTATATGTTTAAAATAACAATAAAAGAAAATCAAATAAAAAACCAACAAAAAAAATAAGAAAAATTAAGTTTTAGGGGAGTAGAAATCGGGATTGGGGGGGGGGAGAGTTTAATTTTAATTTTTTATTCATATTTTAATCAATTTTGATACAAAAATACCATTTTGCCCCTGCATTCAACAGAAAAGTTAACAAAATTAACGGCAGGACCATTTGTCCTAACGAAAGTGAAGTTAAATGATCACAGGAACCATTTTGGAAATTGATGAGATACTCAAATGCAAATCGGGTCTAAATTCAGGGACTAATAAAACGATTAATCCTATACATGTGTGTGTGCGGGGTTGAAGTTGATAAATTATTTGTTTGACTCTTAGTGGGCAGATTTCTGTAAAGCATTACTATTGGAGGCAGAGTGGTACGGTAGCGGCTATACACCATCCCTTGAAGAGTACCTAAGTAATGGATGCATTTCATCATCAGCTTCAGTCCTTTTGGTTCATACATTTTTCTCCACAACTCATCGTGATCAGCTAACCGAAGAGATTGCCGATTTTTGGCACAAGAATGAAGATTTTGTGAATAACATATCTCTGATAATTCGGCTCACCAATGATTTGGCAACTTCCTGGGTAATTTTCTTTCTTCCTATAATCAAACGAGGAAAACTCTGATCGAAATTAGTATCAACGATTTGGCACAGTGTCTGATTAACTTTTACAGCTTACTTCCCTTATCTTTAAGAAACTAATGAATTAATTAACAGGCTGAACAAGAGAGAGGCGATGCTCCTTCAGCAATCCTATGTTACGTGCGAGAGACGAATGTTTCTGAAGATATAGCCGAGATGAAGATTAAGGGCATGATAGACAAAGCGTGGAAGAAAATAAATGGGAAATGCTTGAGAACCCCACAAGTTCCTTTCCTCTCACCATTCATCAACATTGCCACAAATATTGCGCGAATGGTGCACAACCTTTACCAAGATGGAGATGGATTTGGTGATCAAGAAAAAGGCTCTCGGCTGATCCAGTCTCTACTAGCTGAGCCTTTACTGCTTTGATCATTTGAACTCATTAAACTATCTGTGTATTTGACAAGAAAGGCATCTACAAATAAAGTCATTAAACTCTCTGTGTAATCGTTATATGTATTGATGATCTTAATGTCATAAAAATAATAAAGTAAATTGTCATATAAACTGGTTGTAGTCTTTTGAATTACAAATAATAATTCAAATCAACGGTAGTTGTGCGGAGGGGATTTCCAATCTAAAAGCAAGGCTTGTTCTTTCTTTCCTAATTTTTTATATTATTAACATTGTGACCACTACAAAAGGGTTGATGACCAAAATGGTCCCCTAACCATTGCTCGAGTATCATTTTGGTCCACCAACTAAAATTTTCATTTCAACCGTCCTTAGACTCTTTATTTTGTATCAAGATGGTCCTACCGTCAAAGTTTGTGTATTATTCCGTGAAATCGAGTGACAAAACCGTATTTTTATGTGAGTACCCTCCCTTAAAACTACCAAGCCAACGTAGGAATGCATTCCTTCCCATTTCTGTTAGAGGCTCCACCAAAACCCACAAATTAGAACCCTAGGTTTGCAATGTCGGAGATTTCAACGACCTCAAGTGGCACAAGTCGGTACTATGCCTCTGGGACAAAGATAATTCGTCAGACTTCATGGACAGATTTGAACCCGGGAAGAAGGTTCGATGCTTGTGATAAAAATTGGGTAAATTATTATTTGGGTTGCAAAAGTTGTTCTTTTCCATTTGTAATTGCTTGTTGAGGTCTGAAATTGGGTAAGATTAGATTTCCAGAATAGAAGAAGAGATATGCATTTTTTCGAGTGGGTGGATAATGAAACTTGTCTAAGAGGAAAACAAGTGGTCTCTGGTTTGCTTAGAAGACTTAGAGCAATGGAGGAGAAAGGTAGAGCAAAGGAAGAACAATTGAGATATGTGGAAGCAAAAAAGAAAGAACTGCAACAGAAATTGAAAGAAATTGTTCAGGAAAAAAAGGTTTTGGAATGGGCTCATGGGCAAAGACAATTGATAATGTAGGTTTCCTTGATTTTTTTTCTTGGGGTTTGTTTATAACATTTGTGATGAGTAGGAAGTTTTAATTGCTATGTTATGGGGTTTGTTTCTTTGAATGTAATGGTGAAGACTTCTGTTTCAATTGTAGAATGAATGTCCATTAGTGTTCTCAAATTTTCTTGAATTGGGTTATTTGAATATTTGGGAGATGCACAGAACTTAATATTCCCAGTTTGCATTTTTCAATTCTTCTGCGTAATCCCATAACCTAGCATATTGTTCTTTGTAAGTACCTTTAATTAAATCTCTGGCCAGCCTCTCTTTGCCCCATAAACTTGAATTTTTGTGACATTTATTTTGTAATCTTCCAACACATCTTCTTGAAATGATTTCAGATCAAACTCTGAGTTGCGCCTGAGCTTGTTTGCATATCTTTCACAAAGCCAGTTTTATGTGATATACCTAAGCTTGTTTACTCTTCCACACTGATGTTCTAAGGCTCAAAGTTTTTACTGCAAATGTCTCTTCCTTTGTATCAATCTTTGATCCATATACTTGGAAAGAACAACCTTGCACACATTTTGCCTGAACTTGTCTCTTGTCATTTTTTTTTATCAATTTCACTTCCCTACCATGTATAATTGCATGCTCATTGATAGCTTCTATCAATAGTTTTTTATTTGCAAACTTCATTCCCAATCTAAACTCATGATTTTTCAAATCTACATCTTTTCTATACTACTTAAACTTTGGCAATTTTTTCTTTTTTTCTTTTTTCTACTGTTACCCTCATCTTCAGTCTCACTTCCAGTGTCAAATTCTGATGTGTTAACACCATCTGATGACACCTTTCCTGGAGCCCCATGAGTAGGCCCCTTATTTGCTACATTCTCTCCAACAGTTGGCCTGACCTCTGCCTCATTTTCACTGAACTCATAATCATTGTCCTTAATTTCTGAAACCTCATCTTCTTCTTTATTTGGCAATTCTGCCCCTTCCTCATCAATTGTCACATTTGCCCCTACATCTTCATTTGGTAATTCTGCCCATGAATCTTCATTTGGTACCTCTTTGACCGCATCTTCATTTGCAACTTTTGTCCCAACATTCTCAAAAATCTCCTCATCTTCAATATAAGCTACCTCTTTCACTTGGTAATTCTAAGTCACATCCCCATCACAATTCTCAACATCAGCATCATAGTCATAGTCTTGAAGCTCACTATAGTATAACACAATAACCTTATTGGATGGTATGTGACCAACCATTTCAACCACTGTAGCATATGATGTAACAAGCTCCAGTCCACCCTCAACATTTCTACACCTAATTTCCAAACTTTGCTCAACTTGATAAATGTCAACATCATACCCAAGACCTCTCCCAATTTTTAGTAAATCTAACAAGGACAGAAAATCCTCTACAATATTGTCCAAATAATAGACCTTACCCTTTTTATAAACCCAATTTTCAAACCATCCCCCATGATGTAAGTCTAGAGTCCACATTCCATTGGTAGCTGCAAATTTGAAACAACAATATGTTAATTTAAAGTCATAGTTTTGTTGTTAATACTAAGGACAATAATTACTGAGTTTGGTGTAAGGCAGATAACCAAGGGACACAGACATTTAAAAAAACCTCATATTCAACATTTTAGACAAAATAAAGCTTACATTCTGCAGTCAATGTTGCAAAAGCCAAATCCACATACAGGAAAACGATTCCTTCACCCTTACTTTAAACATAAAACAACCAAAAAGTTGAACACAAACACAGAAAAATGAATCCTTTAAGCATAAAGAAACCACACTTCCAGACAAGGACAACTCATCCATTTCCAAACAAAAACAACATAAAATGCATTACAAAAGCCCTTATTGTATTTGGGAGTCTTTCCACCCGAACAGAATTCGAACTCCATTTTCAGCAAGCAGTGAATTTCCCAAAATCCCCAAAATCAAACCCTAACGCAAACTCCGAAATTCGAACTCCAAAATTAACACTGAAATTACACACTAACTTCACCTATTCAGCGACTCGCATAGTACTACAACATCGACCAATTTAGCAACTCGCATTAGAATCCCTTTCAATCTATGGTAATTGCCTAAAATGAGAGAAACATCTAACAAACTATAGGTAATTTGCTTCTGAACGATAGAGCTTCTCAAAAAGTCGCATATACCCTTCAAAACTCAGTCACGTGGCCATTGCGTGATAAAAAATGACAGAATCTGTCACGGATGGACCATATTGATACAAAAATAAGAGTTTAAGGTCGGTTCAAATGAAAATTTTAGTTCGTTATCCAAAATGATACTCGAGCAATAGTTGGGGGACCATTTTGGTCACTAACCCAAAACGAAAAAAAGGAGTTAGGTACTTATTTATTATATAATATATTCCTTTCCCTCTCCCTCCTAATTTCCTTGACAAAACAAAAACCCTAGGGCATTAAAAACAAAAACAAAAACCTAACTTTCCTACCTGCATCATTAGATTCACCCAAATATATTAACTCATCTTCTAATTGTTGCCATTGCACTGATTATTATTTTGGTAAAGTCAAATTAGTAATTTAATGGAATGTTGATGAAATTTGGTTTGTTTGTTTTTCTTTTCTCCGTTCTTTTGTCGATAATTCATGTATTATAAGGATGAGTGCAACTTGGTGAATCAAATCTGCGAGTTTCCAGATGAAATTCTTAAAATATATTGTCTCTACCAGTGTTTTCAAAGGCATGCCTAAGCGAGCGTCGAAGCGAGGTGGAGGGAAATCCCCTTAGGCGTACGACTGTTTAGCTTGTTGCACGCTTAGCGTGACGAGCGTGGTTAGGCGCAAAGAAGCACTGCTGTCTGCAATCCAGGCGCGAGGAAGAAGACGACTTGACTTGAAATTTTTTTGTTAGGGTTTGTTTCAATCAAACTATGTCGTTTCATCTAGCCTTTTAAGCCCCAACTGAACCAAACAAAACTTCCCTTTTTTTTTCTTCTAAATAAATACATTAATGGACCTATATGTATATTCCTAATGCGATAATCTCCATCAATTTTAATTCTCTCCATAAGTTGAAGCGTCTTTCTCCTTCAGTATGCAATTCTCTTCGTATAAGATTTATATATATATATGTTAGTTGTTTTTTCCCAAACAACACAATATCCATAAAACCCATTAAAACTAACACTCAAGTCCACACATAAATGCCGAAAATCATAGCATTTTATGTTTCATGATGGGGAGTGGGATGCATGAATTGAGTTATTCTTTTGATGTTGAATAAGTATCTTATGTTTTGAGATTGATTATCATGCTTGAATGACATTTAGTACTTATATTTTTGATAGAATATTTTGGGTCAATAAGAATTAGTAGTACAATTTATCTGTATTGTATTATTTATAATTTTATTATTATTAAAATAAATTAATGTTTGAAAGGCTTACGCCTCAATGCTTCAAGGCTTACGCCTTGCATAGCGGACTAAAAACGTCTCACCTCTATGCCTCGCCTTTTAAAACATTGGTCTCTACTGACTCTAAAGGAAGCAGCGTGTACTAGTATCCTCTCTAGGCGATGGCAGTATCTCTAGGCCTTTACTATGACTCTCAACTTTTATGCTATTAACTCTGAAGTTGGTAATACTTTTAGATGCTTCGGGGAGCTCAAACGAGAGTCGACTTTTTTCTAGACTATCCCTTTGGCTGTGATCATCAATGGCTCAACATAATCAAGGGAGGTTGGGGGACTATTGGGGTGGATGTGGCTGGGTGAGGGTGTGGGGATGAAGAGATGGGGGTACGGGTGGTGTGTGGGTAATCTCATTTTTTTTATATTTTTGGTTACTTTTAATTTTTAATTTTATTCTTGTATTCATATGATTTTGGATTTAATTAAATTTGCGTTTTGAATTCTTTTAGGAATGAATTTTGATTTTGTTTCTCTTTGAATTTGGATGGGTTCAGTCCAACTATAGGGGTTGGGTTCTTTTATGTGTGTGCATCGATGGAGAGAGAGGGAAAGAGACACAGAGGGAGAAAGGAAGAGAAAGAGAGAAAGAGAGGACTAGGTTTTGTGTTGCAGGAGGGCAAGAGATGGGGGGAGAGAAAGGAAGAGAGAGAGAGAGAGAGAGAGAGAAAGTGAGATGAAGGGGAATGGTGTGGGGATGAGGGAGAAGTCGAGGGACAGGGGTGGGCGGTTTTGTTTGAATTTTTTTTTTAAATTTTATATTATCTTATTGTTTTATATATTTGATTTTAAGGTTTTAAATAATTTAAGAAATCAAGATTTTTTTAATTATTTTTTTAGCTCACGTGGTGTCCACATGAAAATAAAAACCTGACATATATTGGACACGTAAGCATTTAACGGAAAAAACTGATAAATTAATTAACGGAGGGTGTATTTGAAAGGTTCTGTAAAGTTCGGGTACTGGTCAAACGAGTCTTTAAAGGTTGTGTATGAGTTTGTGTTATATATATATATATATATATATATATAAAGCAAAAGACAAAGAATGGTGAAACATTCAAAATACTAGAAAATACCATTGGTTAATTCAAACATTAAGAATTAAAATTATTAATTAAATGAGGATAATATGGTAAATTCACATTTTTTTTCATATGAAAAAAATTAAAATTAAAAACAAAATCAGATAATAGGTCCTACTTTTATGGAACACAACTACCCATATTATCTTTTCTTAATTCTAAAAATAAAATAAAAAATAAAAAAGAAAACCAATTGACACATGCATGAGCATGTGCCAAGGGGCTAGTTGTAGTTAATCCTAGATTTAATTTAGGCTTTAATTTTAATTCATATCCTAGATTTAATTTAGGCTTTACTTTTAATTCATGGCCGTGTTGTAATAAGGTCAACTTTTTTATTTTTTAAATTCTGTTTTATTTTTATAATTCTTTTTAGTTACAATAAATTGACAAAAATACCCTTAAATTTAATGAAAACTTTAACGGAATTAGACAAATGTGGTGGATTGCAACACTTTACAAAGTTCAGGTGGTTAAAAATAAAAATTAAAAGTTCAGGTGACAATAATGCAAAATTCCCTTGTTTTTAAGCTTAATTATTTGTTATCTTTTTATTTATTTATTTATTTTTCCTTATATGAGGTATCATGCATGTTCTACTATCAATGAAAAATCGTTATATAATCTAATAAAAGAGTGCCTCGGAATGGCCTTGCTCAAGTAGATAAATTAATTAATTGATACCGCAGTTTTGCTAACCTAAAGACCTAAAAATGAGTTCCAGTGCACCAATCTACCTATTAAGCCAACGACACCAATCTACCTATTAAGCTTCGTACACATAGCCCACCATACTACAAATTATGGTCAATTGGTCTTCGATTTCACACTTAAAATCCTAGTGGCACCCAACTAGGTGGAGCAAGGGATCCTAGCAAGACTTAAGAAAATCCTTGTTGGAAGAGGTGGAGTTGCGGGGGCTCACTCTTGAAAAGTGTGGGTGCCGTGAATGACCCGGTTACCTTGGCTTGGATCTTGTCAAGGTGGAGATTGTTGGTGTAGGTGGTTCAATACAAGCCATGATGTGGAAATCCCATATCAGAGAAGACAATAATAATCTACAGTTTAAATAAGGTGGTCCCACACCTAGAGGTCCATTGGACAATATTTGATGCATAATTTGGACTAATCCTATTGCCCGTTTGTTCAACACATTTATCATATGATATATACAATGAATTTTTCTAAGGTTGATAATGTGTAGATTGATTCTAGCCATTAATTGATGCTCTATGGGCTCCCATAAGCTTTAACTTGTACTTAGTTCCTATTGTCATATGTTAGCTCGTTTGGAAGTGCTTTTGGAGCAATGAAAAACGCTTCTAAATGAGTGAAACCGCTTCTATATTTTAAAAATGGTGTTTGGCAAAAATTGCAAAAATGCTTTGGGTGAGATCCAAAAGCACTTGGAGTGGTTTTGGAAGAAGCACTTGAGAGGTGCTTCTTAAAAGCAGTGCATGACAAAAACACAGGAAGCACTTGGCTCCCTTTAATGAAAGTTTTAAATACCAAAAATACCCATATTTAATTTTTTTAAATGCTAAAATACCCTTTCTTTTTTTTTCTTTTTTTCTTTTTAAACTGAGAATATCTGATAAACACCCTAATTAAAATACTCTTGTTCATTAATTTGACACCCCTTTTATCTATATCATGGACCAATGATAAAAATTTCAACTGTAGGCCATCATATCTATAATCTGACAAAATGAACAAGGAAAATTACGAGTGCAGGGGCAGCAAAACAGAGAGAACATAATAATTGATTGAAACCAACCAACCTCTGCTGAAGATCCAGTTGGCTCCGTGACTATGATTCGGGGCAATACATTACCATCATGTACTATATTCAACGACATCGTTCTGAGCCTAAACCTCTCTCTTACAAAAACCCAAAATAAAAGGATACATCAAGATTAGTCTTTGACAACCAGAACAGAGAACAATGTAAGAAAGACAAAATCTTTCCAAGAAAAACAATGAAGAACCATAATGAACAAGCGTAACAAGAGATGGGTTAGCTTACGTTGATTGCTATTTCATATGGAATGTTATCGGCTTCTGATTTTGAAGCAGAAGAAGAAGTAAGCCTAACTGTGTGTTGGGTTCATAGAAAATCTTTGCTGCAATGTCACATGGCCACAGATACGATATAATAAAATGAATGATTTTATATCTGAGGGAAAGAGAAAGAGAGAGAGAGAGAGAGACAGTGAGGAGAAGGATATCCAAAAGAAGAAAACCAAGCACTCAACAAAATATCAAAAGTGCTTTTATGTAATGTAAAAACACTTTTAAATGTGACATCTAAACAACAAACTGCTTCTTTGTAGAAGTGCTTATATCATAAGCGCTATTGGCATAAGCATTTCGGGAAGAAGCACTCCCAAACAAGCTCAAAGTAGTATAGTTATAGCAGGACTCTTCTAATACAAGTTAATGGACCACATCTCATGGATTATTGATTCTGGGCAGTAATTGATGCTTTAATGGACTACAACTAAGAAATTAGGTGGTCTGTGACCCATTGAGCATAGCTCGAACTATGAGTAGCATATAGCTTTTAATGGTGGGGCGTATATTTCAAAGATGAATGTTCATTTCCTCTGATTAGCATATAGCCCATTATAGAATGCGTTTATATATATATATATATATATATATATTAATTAACTACATAAAAGTACCCAACCTTTCAAATTTTTCACGGGCATACCTGACCTTTCTTTAAAACATACAAATTAGTCACTCTGTTAGTCAAACTGTAACATCCCACATCAACCAACAGAGAGGGGGTGATGTGCCTTATATGTACATGCCTACCTCCATTTAGCATGAGGCCTTTTGGGAACTCACTGGCTTCGGAGTCATGGAAACTCTGAAGTTAAGCGAGTTGAGACTAAAGCAATCCCATGATAGGTGACTCACTGGGAAGTTGCTCGTGAGTTTTCAAAAACAAAGCTGTGAGGACAGGGAGGGGGGCCCAAAGCGGACAATATCATGTTATGGCGGAGTCAATCCTGGGATGTGACATAGACCCTTAGTAGAGGCCTTAAGTAATGATGTGGCTGCTCCGATGTATCTTTTTTTGCTGATGTGGATACCACGTGGATTAAAAAAATAAAAAATAAAAAATTTCAATTTTAAATTAATTAAGAAGACTAAAAAATATTAAAAACAAATAAAAAATTAAAAAGAAAACTCTCTCACATTCTCTCTTCCCCCTCCCCACAATCGACTTATTCTCCCCTCATTCCCCATGACCATCAACTGCAAGCTCCAACCCCCAAACCCATCCCACAACCACCTTTCACCCCAGCTCGCAACCACAACCCCCACGAAACTCCCACCCTCAAACTCATGGCAGGAGCACCAAGAACCACCCAACCATCTCCATCTCGCTGATCTACCTCAGCCCTCATCTGTTTCTCGAATATCCAATAGCCTCACTGCAATATCCCGTCGCAAAGAATTTATTTAATTTCCTAATTCTAAAACAAAGGACGATTCCACCCTTAGGGTTTAGTGGTTTAGGTTTGACTTTTTGCTCGAGGATGGTTTGGGAAAATTTCTTGGCTCCATTATGTAGTGCGTGAGCTCATGAGTTCATAAACACGTAATGGGCCCAAATTGGAGTTGGAACGAGAAATTTATGATCTATGGAAGTGTAGGGGCCCAATCGTAATTTTTGCAAGTTAAGTGTTCAAAAGTCAGTCATTGTGCAACCATAATTTCTCTCTCCTTCTTCCCGACTCTCCTCTCATTCGCGTGTCTCTTCCTCTCGACACAGTCACTGTGCAAACAGTGACTATTCATATTCTCCGGCGAATTTTGTCTCAGTCTAGTCGTTCCAAGCTGCACCACCACCCAAAAAGCTTCATCTAAGTCTCTTTTACCTAACCCTCGCTCGACGCCGGCAGATTTCTAGGCTTTTCCGACGATTCTAGCTGCCGATTTCATCAAGTAAGGAATGGATTTTCATCCTTTTTCCGCGATCTATTCGTTTACATAATTGGTTTGGGTTGATTTCAAGGTTTGAAGAATTGATCTGGACACCTAATTTGGCCGACGACTTTGGCTGTGTTTAAGGCCACTCCGGCTAGTTTTTGGCCGAGGTCCAAGAACTAAAAACACTCATCTAGTTGTGCTTGACCTTTTGGTATAGAACTTGACCGGTGGTTTGGAGATTTTCCGGTCACTGGAAATCTCTCATGCCACCCACCATCAGCGGCGGCGTGTGGCGGCACGTGAGTCAGATGTCGACAATTTGTTTTCACCCTAGAATTAACCCCTCGTCATTCGGAGCACAACGGTATGCTCGAACTAGCTAAATTCGACCGGTTGAGTATTATACCAAAACTTACCTATTAGGCGTTTTTGGGTTCGATACGTTCGGACCGTCAAATCTTAATGAAACTCTTGGGACTTGTTAAAAGGGTTTTGTTAAACCTGTAGAATTTTTTAAGGTCGTACACACACACTTAAAACTCTGAGAATTAGGTTTTTTATTAAGGGTTTGAGGTGGAGCTTTTATTTAACCAAGCTTGTTTTCTCTCAATAGGTCTTCAGACTCCACGTACTCAATCAGAGGGACCTTCGAAGGGTCAAGCAAGTTTGGACCCACAGTGAATGGACATTTGTTTTATAAATGATTTTTCATACTATGTTTGTTTTATAAAATGCTTTATGAATAAATTACTTATGGTGTTTACTTTCCGAGCATTAATTTGATTTTGGTTGAGGTAATTTCATATTATTATTATTATTATTATTATTAAATGAGATTAGCTCGGAAAGTTGAGAATGATTTGAGAAATGGATTTGAGAAAGGATTTGGGAAATGTTTTCAAAACCACCTTAGATATCCTTTTGTTGCATTTAGATATTATGATGTCCTTGGACATCTCAGTTGCCTTCAATTTCCATAGATGCAAACAGCGTTCAAATTTTTTTCTTTCAATTTGTTGGTTTTTGAATTTTCAAAGAGATAGATGGGTAGAGAAAAAGGATGATCCAACGATGGTGGTGAAGAGAGCAGAGGCTTCATGGCAGCGCCTTGCCATGGTTCCTTGGCCGTCAGGTTTGGGAGGCTGAAAAATGGTTTTAAAAGAAGCGATTTTGGGAAGAAATCATGGGATCTAAGAGAGGGGAGGGTAAGGGAGAGAGGGGAGAGTAAAGGAGAGAGTAGTGGTGAAGGGCTGGGTTTGTGGGGGTTGGGTCACTGAGAGAATGAGAGAAAGAGGGAGTGAGTCGGGGAATGGCAGATTTGTGAGGGTCGGGAGAGAGAGAGAGAGAGAGAGAGAGAGAGAGAGAGAGATTTATTAAGTTTATTAATTTTTAAATCCACATGGCATCCACCTCCGCAAAAAAAGCCACGTCGAACCAACCACATCATCACTTAATGCCTCCACTAACAATCTGACTAACAGAGAGACTAATTTGTATGTTTTACGAAAGATCGGGCATGGCCTTGAAAAATTTAAAAGGTTTGGTACAAATTTGAAAAGACTCTTAAAATTTGGGTACTTTTATGTAGTTCATCCTTATATATATATATATATATATATATATATATATACAGTCCCCTTCTATTGAGGGATCCCTCAAATAATTTTATTTGAGGGACGCTCTTTAGGGTACCCTACAATTTTTTTTCCAATGATCCAAACCATATAGTTTTTAGGTCTTCATTCATAGATCATCCTTACAAAAAATTAGACAAATCGGAAATCGTTTCGACATCCAATTGTGTCTTACAAAATCAATGAACACGGTGCTTCAAGAAAGTACTAAAATTTCAATAACTCAATTGAGTGATAAAATAATATCGGATTCAAGTGATTTTTTGTAGAGATGATCTTTGAATGAGTATCTACAAAATAGACGGTTTGGATTAGTGAAATACAATCCATAGTGGGGCCTACAAGGGGTGTCCCTCAAATAAGCTTATTTGAGGGATCCTTCAATGGAAGCTCTCTGTGTATATATATATATATATATATATATATGTATAAATGTACAGAAAATCGAAGTATTTTTAAAAAATACGTCAGTGTGCATATACGTCAATTGGCTAGGCTAGGAGCCCTACCAAAGCTCCGAAGAAATATAAATCAAATCAAATTAAATTATTGATATAATTTTCTCTTTTTTACGTCAAAAGTGAGGCTATATATATATGAACCTTTGCCTCCAAAGAAGATTGCTATACACCAAGTTTCCATTCCATCATGGAGTTTAAAATAAACTTGCAAGCTGATAAACAGCAAAGACGATCTGCCGAGTACAAGCTAAATATTTGGAAGTATGGTTTCCTCGAATCTCTTAACAGCAAATACGATGTGAGTTTTCCTTTGTCCTAATTAGCCTACTTCTCAAGGTATTAATAAATCTTAACTAATAGAGTAGCAGATTAACTGAGTGCAGGGAGATAATTATACAAGGCAGTCTGAGAAGCTAATACAAGATGTTAAGAATACGATGTTTGTTGAAACTGATGATTTAATAGCTCAGTTGGAGCTGATTGACAACATCGGAAAACTAGGCCTCACGAACCACTTTCAGAAGGAAGTGAAGGAAGCCCTGGACAAAATAGAGTCTATTCAAAATAACGACAACCTTTATGCTACTGCGTTGCACTTTAAGATCCTTAGGCAGCATGGCTATAAAGTGTCACAAGGTAAATACATAAACAACTCCCATAAGTTTATCTTATTTCCTGTTATTTAAATTGTCCAATTAATAATGTGTGTGAAAAAACATATCTCTACGTACAGATGTATTTGGTGGCTTCATGGATGAGAAGCGTGCATTAAAGGAAAGCCAAATTTCGGATCCCAATGGAATGCTTCAACTTTTGGAGGCCTCAAACCTGGCTTTAGACGGCGAAAATATCTTAGATGAGGCGAAAGCTTCCTCTACGGTAGCTCTCAGAGATTCCAATATCTGTAATATTCTGGACAATAACCTTGCCAGGCATGTGGTCCATGCTTTGGAGCTTTCATCACATCGAAGAGTAGTGTGGTTTAATGTCAAATGGCACATAGACGCCTATGAGAAAGACAATCATGTCAAAACCATTTTACTTGAGTTGGCTAAACTTCACTTTAACATGGTTCAAGCAACGCTGCAAAAAGATCTAAGGGAAGCATCCACGTAAGTAAAAGCATAAAACATTTATCTTAATAATGGTAACTTGTTGATGCTTTGGTTTTGATGTGTAGGTGGTGGAACAATCTAGGCCTCGCAGAACTCTTGAACTTTGCAAGAGATAGACCGGTAGAGTGTTTCCTGTCTGCTGTGGGATTAAATTTCCAGCCTGACTACACATCTTTTAGAATACGGCTTACTAAAGTCATCTACTTGATTCTGATAATAGACGACGTTTATGACATCTATGCCTCACTGGAAGAGCTAAAGCTCTTAACCAACGCTGTCGATAGGTTAGTTAGTTTCGGCATAAAACACATTAATTAGCAGTATTAGGGTTTGTTTCATAATTAATGTATAAACTTCTCATAAATTAAAAGTGCCTTAAATTTAGGTGGGATGTTGGGGAAACTGAGCAGCTTCCAGGGTGTATGAAGATCTGTTTCCAAGTGCTCTACAACACTACTTGTGAAATTGCTCAGGAAATTGAGGAGGAGAATGGCTGGAACCTAGTGTTACCTCATTTGAGCAAAGTGGTACTATAGCTTAGCTAGGCCTGTTCCTTTTCTTTCTTTCTTTATATGTCTTTATAATTAGGGTTGTTACGAGATAGGTCCTAGACATTAACTTTTTTATTTATAAACTATTATTAAAAACCCAATTTTGAATATTAGTTAATAGTTGCCCTAATATTATAAAATGTTTACACACTATGCCATCTATCTTACTTGTCAAATCTCTTATGTTTAGCATTTATATTTAATTCTTTTTAATTTGGCACATATTTAATATTGAAAGGTTTTGATAAAAATAAATCAATGAATACATAAATAATCATGTAATACAAACCGTACACTAATATACTACCTAAATATAACACTATTAAACAAATTATAATACCTAAAACGAATTATTCTTTTTTTCTAAAAGAATATTGATTAGGTAATTGTTAATTGGAAAAAAAATACGTACATGCAAAAAATAATTTACCTACATATCTAATGCAAGATTGGTAAATAGATAGATACATACTTATGTAAAAAAACAGAAGGTACATTTATCTATAAGCAAAATCTAGGTACATTATGTATAAGAAAAATATGGGTACATTATTCTTAAGAAAAATTAGGTATATTATTACGTTATCCTATTAGATAGACAATTCAAAGAATTTATAAATTTGTACTAGGTACATTATCCTATTATTTCATAATAGGTACAATTTTCATAGAAAAAAAAAAGGAAGACGGTAATTAGATGATAAATAAATAATTTGTGTAAGGCACGTAGGAATAATTTGTGTGTGCATTACTTACCTAACACATATATTTGTGTGTGCATTAATAAATCGTATGTGCCAAACATTTTGAAGTTAAAAAAAAATTAATGCGTGAGTAGTCAAATTTGTGATAAATTCCAAATTTAGGAAAGGAAAGAAATCAACACAATAAATTGAGAAAACCAAATTTAATACAGCCACATAATAGGGTAAACTCTAATTAGGGGTGTTTTTGGAATATAAAAAGTATAATAAAAAAGATTTTAAGCTTAATTAGGTAACTTGCTGAGTTGCATCCTAGTGATCGGGTTTTACTTATAATAAATTGAGTTTTCTTCAAAAAAAAATAAGACAATGGGTTGTAGGTAAGAAAAAATTAGTTTGAAGGGAGAAAGCTGAATTTACTATTATAATTATATATATATATATATGTATTTGTGCGAGTGTGTGTTTGAACTTGAGAAATTATTTGTTTGAGTCTTAGTGGGCAGATTTTTGTAAAGCCTTATTAGTGGAGGCTGGGTGGTACTGTAGCGGCTATACACCATCCCTTGAAGAGTACCTACGTAATGGATGCATTTCATCATCAGTTTCAGTTCTTTTGGTTCATTTCTCCACAACTCATCATGATCAGCCAACCGAAGAGATTGCTAGTTTTTTCCACAAGAATGAAGATCTTGTGTATAATATATCTCTCATAGTTCGGCTCACCAATGATTTGGCAACTTTCGCGGTAATTTTCTTTCTTCTTAATCAAACGCGGCAAAATCTAATCAAAATTACTACAACTTACTTCCCTTGTTCTATTACTCTTTAAGAAATTAATGAACTGATTAACAGGCTGAACAAGAGAGAGGCGATGCTCCTTCAGCAATCCTATGTTACATGCGAGAGATGAATGCTTCTCAAGATATAGCCGAGACGAAGATTAAGGGCATGATAGACAAAGCATGGAAGAAAATAAATGGGAGATGCCTGAGAAGCCCACAACAAGTGTCTTTTCTCTCACCATTCATCAACACTAGCATAAATATTGCACGAATGGCGCACAGCCTTTACCAAGATGGAGATGGATTTGGTGATCAAGAAAAAGGCTCTCGGCTGATCCAGTCTCTACTAGCTGAGCCTTTACTGCTTTGATAATTTGAACTCATTAAACTCTCTGTGTATTTGACAAGAAAGGCATCTACAAAGTCAAAAATTTGTATGAACTATAGAATACATTATCAAATACAACTTTTACCACGATTATTTAATAAACTTATGCTTCAAGTCTAATAAAATCTTTATATATAAGCGGATTATTCCACATATATTATATATTGTAAGCTTACATGTAATCATCTTATGTTGACATGTTCGATAGCAGATATGTTTTCCATGTCCAGCCACGTCTTTCGTCATATACAGAAATTGAAGCTAATCAATCAACATGACAACTTGATTAGTCCTGGTTTTTTCTTTGGTGATGGTAGGTTTTGGTCCATTCATATGTTGAAGTTGGGGACAGTTTTTGTTTCTTTTCTTTTGGGCCTAATCTATGGAGTTTGGGACTGACAAGACGACCTTTGTGTTCAAACAGCTGAAGAGTACCTTTCAGCTCGCACAGCAACCGTTCACTTTGCAAACACAATAATATTAAAGAAGTAGTTTCGATCAGCTATGGCAGAAAAGTTAGGAATGTTCCACCTTCAGGTTGGTTTTCTCAAAAATTGCAAATATAATTGAACAAATAGGTTAATTTGTTTGACATTATATCTTCTTGTGTTTAAGGGCCAATTTCTTATGCTCCGGCAACTGATTTTTGCGGTGGACATTGTGGAGCAAAAGGGTGGCCGATTTCAAACACTTTTTCTTGTTGCCGATAACAAGGGTTTCAATCCTACTCTCTCTCTCTCTCTCTCTCTCTCTCTCACAAAAGTCTTAGAACATGCATAATCTTATTCTTTATGGTATCTTCTGATGTAAAGGTTACCAAAAAAAATTTCAACACAAGCGATGGAGAGTTGAGTACAAAAGGGGCAAAAACCATCGAATCAATTGTAAATGCAAGGTACATAGAAGCTTAAGATTAATCGATTCTTGCTTTAGGCTCTCAAATTTTCTTAAGACCTTTGGCCTTGATCCCATAGTTTTATACAATGTTTTCAAAGGCGAGGCGTATAGGCGAGGCGTTTTTAGTAGCGCTATGCGAGGCGTAAGCCTTGAGGCATTGAGGCGTAAGCCTTTTGAACATTAAGTTATTTTAATAAGAAAAATTTATGAATAATACAATACGATTAAATTGTACAACTAATTCTTATTCAACTATAACAATCTTTTAAATATAATCAAATATAAGTACTAATTGTCATTCAAAACATAATAACTAGTATATTTAAAACATATTGAAAAAAAAAATTATACGAAACTTCAAATTATAGTTTATTACAGTCAAATTATACAAGTATGATGCATGTACGTAAATAAATAAATAAAAGAAAAGAAAAAAAAAGAAAAAAAAAGAAGACTTACTTGCAGTCGAAAGATGAAGAGAATTCTTGAAATTGATGGAGTTATCTGATAAGGGTAGAAATTAGGGTTGTACACGTACTATACAATATATATATATATATATATATATATAGTCCATGTGTTAATATATTAATTTAGAGAAAAAAAAAAGGTAAGTACAAAGCTACAGCCAGTTGGAGTTAGGAAAGAAAAGGAAAGATATTAAAGATATTAATTCTTGCCTATTACAATAAAGGTAAGGAAAAAAAAAACTGAACTTATTTGTTTTTTTTTTTTTTTTTAAAACACACTCCAAGTGAAACGACGTCGTTTCACTATAAGATTGTTTTTAAAACTCTGCAACCAAAATGACGTCGTTCGTTACAAACCTAAATAATAAAAAATCGAGTCGTCTTCCTCGCGAGTTCATCTTCCTCAAAGAAAATTTGCAGACTTTCAATTTCTTCCGTTTCAGAAGATTCCAGATCTGGTACGCCTTGCAACGCTTTGCTCTGCCTAGCCACGCCTTGCAACGCCTTCCCAGCGCTAAACGTGCAACTCGCGAAACAGCCGGACACCTCGGGCGTTTTCCTCCCGCCTCGCGCCGACACGCGCGAAGGCATGCCTTTGAAAACACTGGTTTTATAGCGAAAAATCAAATGGATTCTTTGCTTCTAGGAAGGTATGGGTGTATTTCATGAAGGAGATATCTGAGGTCTACACCAAATTCAAGGAGTGGAAGGTGGGTGTAGAGAACCTTATGGGAAGGAAGATCAAGATTATAAGGAGTGACAATGGAGGAGGATATTAAGTTAGCAAATTTTTTGAGTTTTGGAAGAGCGAGGGTGTCAAGAGGCATTTTACTTTGAAGAAAATACCCCAACAAAATGGAGCCATGGAGAGGATGAATCGAACTCTCATGGAGCATGAGAGGTGCAAGAGGATTCATGTAGGCTTGCCTGAGGCATTTTGGGCAGAGGCAGTTAACCACACTTCCTATTTGGTTAACTGGTCACCATCGAAGTATCTTGATTTCAATTGTGCAGAAGGGGTATGGTCTAATAAATCTGTTGAGTATACTAATCTTAAAGTATTTGGATGGAGTGTCTATGCTCTCATACCTAGTGATGAGAGAACCAAGTTGAAACCGAAGTCCCTTGAGTGCATATTCCTCGTCTTTGAGAGCGGTGTGAAGGGTTTCAAGATATCAGATCCATTGAACCAAAAGAAAATACTCAGCGGGGATGTAGTGTTTGAAGTGAAGACCATGCCTATGATCAATGTCAAGAAAACATGAGGCGATGGAGGATGTTGTTGGAATAAAGACAACCGTTGCAATTCCATCATGGAGGGTGTTGGGGGATACTCCACAAGTGTAGCCAATTGAAAACGTTCATAAGATGTTGAAGTCTACACTGAGGTGGAGGAAGTTGGGCAACAAAAACAAACTCAAGAAGGAGAAGAAGAAGAAGAAGAAGATGCTTAGAATCAAGTGGACCCGCCATCATTAGTTAGGTCCATGCCCAAGAGAACTATGAAACCCCACTTCTAACACATCATCATATTCTATTAGCTATCAATCAAAATGCATGGCATGTTTACTTACACATACGGAATAAAAAATTATTTGAGTTTCATGGTAAAATTTGTAGTCAAATACCCTCAAAACTAGGGATCATATCAATTAGAGGGAATACTTGATCCGATTCCACCTATTCCCAAATTCTTAAGTTCCCTGATTCATTACTTCTTCAATTTTTTTATTTTTATTTTTATTTTTTTATAAATTAGGGGGGATCAAACCCCAAACCAAACAGACTACAAACTGTCAGCACAAACTAAACAGGTTCTAACAACCCCTTCCCCATTTCTTTTTCCTTGTAAGTAAACATGTCATAAGTTGAGAACTAACCTACTTTAAATTTTCTTACAAGCAGTTCATATGCACTCTCGATTGTTCTTGTTGGAACTGATGATGGATGCTGGGAACACATGAAGAAATTTCAGGAAATGATCCCTAAAAGAAAATTTGATAATTTTCAGGTATTAATTGCACCACTACTCACAACATACAACTTTTTATCAATATAGTTATTCGATAACTTTTTAACTAAATGCATGTTTTTTTTTTCTTCTTGTACATATAATATAGTTCGTCAACTTTACTGAGATTATGCCTAAAGATGGAACTCTTTCTGATGAAGAAGCGGCTTTTGCTCATGCTGCACTCGAGAAACTCCCATCCCAGTATAAAGCAGCTGTTGAACTTGATCTTGTTGGGCAGGTCTTCCTACACTAAATATAATGCTTTAAGGGATGACCAAATATGTGCGCCGAATTTTATTCACCAAATGACGTGATAGTATTTTATTTATTGAATAATTAACGACTTTTACATAATCACATAACTTGACTGACTCAATCTAATCTATTCTAATCTGTCTGTTTTATTGGAGAAAAGGCGTGTGGCAGGAAAGGGAAAGAAAATCGTTCCAGGCTCTGCACCAGTTCCTCACACTTGCTGTGCCAATGCCATGCCAAGTACTTGTGAACCAAGCACTTCGGCATCCATGATGATCAAAACCTGATGGTGTCATGGTATGCTTAAGAATTAATATAACAGAATTCACATGTAATTCACTTCTTGAAATATTGCTATCTAAGTAGTGCTGGTGGCTTAGATGCAGAATCAATCATTGATTTACTTCTTTCTCTATTCAATCTAAGTGCAGGTGTGCTCAATCTGCCCTGAGCGAAGGACTTTTCTTTCGACATGGTGATGAGCTACATATCGATCAGATCTTAAAATTATTTTGACATGGCAATGAGCTACATATCAATCAGATTGCGCAAATTTTAGGGAGGTTGTCCTTGTTAATTTCTTAAGGGTAATGAGACCACAATAAAGGATTTGGAATGAACTTGACAGTTTTATGCATGTTAGGTAGATATCATATAGCTTGCTGCCCTGAATAAGCACCCCGTGGTGGAACTCCTTGAAGAGGCACCACAAGTAATTAAAGGGGTGCATTAAATCTAAATTTCCAGAGACTTTCACAGAGACTTGTTACCCTAAGCATCCCGTGGTGGAACTCCTTGAAGAGGCACCACGAGTAATTAAAGGGTTGCATTTCCAAACTAGATTTGTAGAGACTTTTATGGAGATTTATTACCATGAATAAGCATCCCGTGGTGGAACTCCTTGAAGAGGCACAGCATGTAAACTAAAGGGATGTATGATTTGTAGAAACTCTTATAAAGAATTTGATGTGATAGACTTTTGTAGAGTTTTCTTATTGAAGGGACAAAAACAATGAGAGAGTGCAGAATGAAGAAATGTGTGTTAGTTCTCGGATGTCTCTCTTCTCCGGGAGTTCATACTGCACTTAAATATTCATTAAAGAAAAACACAGCTCACCAAATTGTGCCTAAACATAACATCCAAAACATAAAATACCAACCCCACAGTTGTTCTGAAGAAATATACAGATATCCTGAAGGCAAAAAGTGCTCATGGCGGTAATAGATGCACATATCCCCATCTACTTCTGTTCCTTATCAGCTTCGGTGTTGCTTGGCTTCGGAATCGGTTGAATTCTCACATATGGATTCCTAGTCAATGTCTCTCCTTTCAGTGCAGCAACATAGCGATCATTTGTATTTTCTTTCCGCTGCAACTCACCAAGGAATTCAGCCAATCTTTCTTTATTTACTTGCCCCATCCTCTGATACACAATTTCAAGCAATATACTGTCAGCTTTTGTCTTGATTCAGAGTATGAAACTGCTTCGAAGAAACAACCCAAATTTGAAATCCATTGGAACTGAGCAAGTTACTTTAGCCTTCAATAACAAAATTCTATTAAAACTTTATATCTGCATTCTTGATTCACATAACATGACTTATTCACTATTTCCAATGGATGACAGGGATTAGTGCCAAATGAGTTAACCTGACTATGTAATGGGACAAACCAGTGATAGTTCCTCAACAAGATCCAATTTATTCACTGTTCAAGAAAAAGCTATATGTGTTATCTACGTGCAATTATCTGTTAAAGAGCCCAAGTAAGGAAAACATGGAAGCAATACTTGACCTCAGTTTTCCATACATTTTCAAAATCACAACAAATTTGAGACATGAAAGTGTAGACAATCAAGTAGGGGGGCGGGCGCTAAAATGTTAGTGAGGGGATTTTCTTAGCAGAACTAACTCAACAAATAGATAATTGAAGCACAACTAATTGGTTCCATAAGATTCAACAACACACACTACCTGTGGGTAAAATTCGTTTAGCTGGATATCTAGATGTGCTTTACCTAAAGTCTTAAGCTTACACAGATCCCTGCATCAATAAGGATGTCATGGTCTTGGTTTTTCTCAAAAAAAACTGTTCTGTTCACTACGTAGACAAAATGAATTCGTTTACCCACTACTTCTAGAACATAATACAGCTTGATAAACAAGTCAAGATTGAAGCTTTCAATTCCATCAAGCAAAAACAACCCACACAAATGAACTGTCAATTTCAGATCATCTGATCGCCAATTTGATTAGCTAGTTTCTTCAAAATTGGGAAAGGGGTTGCTTTAAGTCTCCATAGTCGTTTTGATATCCAATAAAGGAACACTTTTTAGGCTATTACAAGCAAAAAACATTTCTTAAAATCGAAATAATTTCATAAAACAAATTGGGTTGAACAGAAAACGTACGATGGATTCGGGTCGGGCGTTGCGGCGGAGTTCGGCCTCGAGCTGTTCATTTCGGGAGTTGGTGGTCTGCATAACGAAGTAGCCAATGACACCCGGAACGACGCCGCATACGGTAGCGAAGGCCAAGAAGAAGGGCTTCGAGTCACGGGTCTTGTTCACTATCCACCGCCATGTCCCGCTCTTCTCCCACAGTATCGACATTTTCAACTTCACGCAGCACACTCTGTCTCTCCTCCGTTTCTTTACCTCTACTGGTTTTTGTTAATTTATTTTCTTTAGTTCGAACGAAGATTTGGGCTCTTAATTGTTTGGGCTCCTATTGGGCTTAAGACGTGGACTGATGGTGGAACACGTGTCAAAAACTTTACCTCTTGAAGGACCCAATAGTATGGCCCAATGACAAAGCTTTTTCTGACATGCTCACAATCCCATCAGAGGCCACAATATGAGAAAGAGCTATAAGGTCCTTTGCACATGTACACTTTTTTCTTTTCTTCAAAAGAAGTTAGACACTCCCTAATGTTTAGCCCCAATCCCTTCCCTATAAAATTCCTTGTTTCCCCCTTGGATGTGTTGTATTATACATTTTTTGGTAAATACAATGAGGTGTCCTCATACCCGAAGGGTGGGATTAATCCCCTTTCAGGGTTCGGCTTGTCTTTGGCCACAAAGTTCTTTCAACGGGTTTCGAACTCCTGTCACTAAGGCACAAGGTAGCTCGCCAGCTGGAGGTGGCAGTTTCCAACCGCACCACACCTTGTGGTTGATGTATTACACCTTTTGTTTACAACAATCTATCAATTTTTATTTTTGGCACAACCACCTTCTTTTAGTTTTGGTATTAACAACTCTTTGTATAGCCACTCTCTAGCTAGCTAAACTCTCTTTTTTAAGAGAATGCCCAATAATTTTGGGTCATACTAGACTCTCTTTTTTTCTCCTTTCACAACAATTGGTAAAAGGAAAGGACCTCGCAAATTGCAATTAATTAAGTCTCTGGTCTAAGTAGTGGCTGCAAAGTTCAGGCCACCCACCAAGTCTCAGAGTTTGAGTTGGTCCAACTTTAAACTTGAAGTTGATTGATAAGCATGATGACATATGGTCATATATGCCAGGACATCTAGGTCAGGAACTAAAGCTGTTGCATACAGTTAGCTAATGACATATGTGCCCTCAGGACAGGAGGCATAATAGGCTCCCAGAGAAGGGCCAGAGCTCACATGAAAGCTACATCTATATGATCTCACTGCTCTGTAAGGAAAAAAGAAGAATCTAATTAAACATTTGTCTTTTGTGCACAAACTAAAAGGATATATGTTGATAGAGATAGATAGACAGCAGCCGACATTTGGGAATCTGATTTTCAAAGCCAGCCTACAGTCTTCCACAAGCGCCCACATCCCCACCATCCCCCCTTTTGCCCTTTGCTTTGCTTTGCTTTATCTCTTACCCTTCTACAAGATCATCATCGTGTGAAAGGTTGCATGGCTTTAGAACCCCATTTAAAACTACTCACATCTCTCTCTCTCTCTCTCTCTCTCTCTCTCTCTCTCTCTCTCTCTCTCTCTCTCTCTCTCTCACACACACACACACACACACACACACAATATAAAATGGCTAAAATCCATGTTAGGAACGTGGTTTGAAATGCTAAATGACTGAAAGGGTTCGAGCTTGAATCAGGCTTACATATTTTATTAGGAAGCATATGTGATTTGTCATTGGATTGGAGAAATGGAAGAGTTTGGAATCTCTTTATGCAAAATGATCAAAAGCTCCCTCCTTCAATAAGGTTGATCCGGGCATTGTTCGATCTCTCTTAGGCATGAATATTGTGCGGGACGGTTGGTAAAGACCACAAAAAGTAATTCTTTCGACAAAAGACCTTAAAGCCCTCTAGCTCTCCTCTTGGTGATCTCTCTCTCTCTCTCTCTCTCTCTCTCTCTCTCTCTCCCTAAATGTAATTGGTTATGGACAACTCATTTGATGTTGTGCTTGTGGTGTAAAAGCCATAAATCAAATTTAAAGAAAGGATAACAAACATAAAAAAAGGCCTGTAATCATGACTAGAAGTTCACTTCTCAACCACAGAAACCTTGCACTAATTGAGAAGACATTATTGCTACCACTTTAGCAGCCTTGTACTGTTATACATAGACCTAATTCTAGCTAGCTTAATTTCATGACCTAATCCTAGAAGAACTTAGAATATGGTCAATAAAAACGCCGGTGCAAACATATGAAGCTCCTAGCTCTGAGGATCTAGAGCCCTTTCATCTAAAGCCAAAGTTTGAACATCTCCTCTCTCGTTTGTCTTGTTTTGCATAAGAGTTTAATTAGTATTCATTTTTCTAGCTAAAACATGTGGTAAAAATACTTATTTAGTTCTCAATATGCGACATGTATAAATCAATGGTTAACAAATGTAGTACAAGTACTTTTGTTGCATAGGTAGTATATAAGCATTCTAATTAAACTAGTAATTAGTATCCATCTTCTTAAATCTTGCTTTCCAAACCATAATTTTTGTGTGACTATATATACAGCGTTTTTTTTTCCACTCTAATCATGTGTAATGTTTGTATGAGAGAGAGAGAGAGACCAGTCAAAGATTTTGTATCGTAATCATTAAAGATGTTAGCATGTCTTTACCCAGATGAAAATGATATTTTAAGGAAAGGAACTAAAGGTTCACTATAGAGAACAAAAATGGATAAAGAAAAAGCAGCTTGGATGGCAGGAAAAATAAAAGAAAAAGAAGACTGTGACAGTGTGCCAGGTAGATCATGGGTCCCTCATCAAGTCATCAACTACTGTTGAATGATAAAAGTGTTCTTTTCCCTTTGCGATAAAAAATAAAAGAGATCAGAATTATCTGATGGCCCCCATCTTCTACATGGGTAAGGTCCATCACACTCATCCCTGTTATGTAAAAACTCATCCAAATATATTTATGTGTTGTCTTGTGATTATGTATTCTGAGATACTTATATCTTTAATTCTGGACAGCAGGGGATTATGAAAAGATTAAAATTCTCCTTTAGCAGATTCTATTATTTGATGCTGTGACTCGTGTATGTACGAACAGAAATGAAGTTGGGGTCCATTTGTTTTTGAAGTATTCATAGTTTAGGAAGCGATTAGTGGTGCCTTAATCATTTGAATGTCGTGTATGTTTTCCTTTTGTTTTTTTTTTTTTTTTTTTTTTTTTTTTTTTTTTTTTTTTTTTTTGGTGGGGCTGAAATATTGTATTAATTCATTACAAACCCCACCTTCGTGGAAAAAGTAGATCATCATCAATCGTATGTTATACTAAAAGTACCTATACATGCATTGTTCATAGCTTTAGTTTCAAGGAAGACTCTACGTAGAGTAGAATAAGTAAATGTACTGTAAAATATATACCTGCTAGCTTTGTTTCTTGTCTGAATCAAGATATCATCAATTGGTAAGATAACATTGCCCTATAAATATATACTTTTAAACAATCCAACAAATCTTATTATAGTAGGTAATACAATGACATAAAGCATAAAAAGCTTATCCTATTATAGTAGGTAAGTACTAATAATAGCTTTAAATTGGAAGCTTCCCCCTTTTATTTTTGTTGTTGGATCCCTCTTGCTATCCTTTGATCAGCCGAACCAAATACTTTTATTACATAGGGAAATAGTTCGAACATAAAGACAGCCTACGTTTATGATCTCAAGAGACCTCATCTAAGACCTAATCCAATTTCCCAAATGTTCATAATGTAGACCTAATCTGTACCTTGTTCGCCTTCAAATGGTATGCCAAGAATATTAACGATGAGATTGCAAACTACCCTAACGGTGCATTTGGATTAGGGAAATAAATTTGGGATTTTGACATAAACCAATTCCCGTGTTTTGATTAAAAAAACAACGAAATCATAAAATTCTTTCTAAATAGTGATCATTTCTAAAAGGTTACAAATTTCAAAATGATAAACGTTAAATTTCGTGTTTAAATCCAATAGCCAACAAAAAAGGTTACAAATTCTAGAACATTAATTTCCGTCATTTTAAATTCCATCGTTTATGAATTTCATAATACTTTAAAATTTCCGGTTCAAACACATTGTAAAAAGCAATCACAAATGATAACCTTACTAAATAAAGTATTCAATAGTACAATACATCAAATATTGTATGTATAAATGTCGATAGAGCAATGTATAAAATAGGATTTCGGATTGCAAGATTGATTAAAATAGTAGGAGTTTAGGGCATTGTATTGCGTGTTGTAGGGTATGGACGGTCGAGTGGCCCACACAGCCTTTTGAGAGGCCCTCTGTTTTTTGTTGGTTTGTGTTGTGAGCAGACAAAAGCAGGGAAGCTTCTTATCCTTCCCTCTGGGTTTTCACACAAAACCTTACACATAGAATCTCTTTAAAAGCCAAAGATCCAAACATCACCATCCCAATATTCCCTCTATTTTCAACCCCATTTCCAATCTTATTTACAATACACACCACTCTCTCTTTTTATCAATCATGGCAACACAAGGATAAGTAATACATTGTAAATCTAAGGGTAAATGCTTTATAGGTTTTATGCCAACAGTGGCCTATATAGTCCATTGTCGTACAAGCCAGTTTAGTTCAAGGTCCAGTGTTTTGCTCTCTCTCTCTCTCTCTCTCTCTCTCTCTCTCTCTCTCTCTCTCTTTCTTTGCTTAGCTTCATCTTTCTCACTCTCAGAGAGTGCAATGGCACCCATGAGCCTTCCTCCTGGATTCAGATTTCACCCAACAGATGAAGAACTTGTTGCTTACTATCTAGATAGAAAAATCAATGGCCGCACCATTGAGCTAGAAATAATCCCAGAAGTCGACCTCTACAAATGTGAACCCTGGGATTTGCCAGGTAAGTAATTTTTGGTTTGGTGCATCATCTAAATAATTCTATAGTGATATTAATCATGGTCATAAACTTGTAAATCAATACCTAACATGTTTTATATTCTCTAACTATGCATAGTGTTCTGACATATATATTTGATTTGTTTGTTTCAGATAAGTCATTTTTGCCGAGCAAAGACATGGAGTGGTACTTCTACAGCCCAAGGGATAGGAAGTACCCAAACGGGTCAAGAACGAATCGGGCAACTCGAGCTGGGTACTGGAAAGCCACCGGAAAAGACCGGGCGGTGAACAGTCAACGGCGTCCTGTTGGGATGAAGAAGACATTGGTGTATTATAGAGGCAGAGCCCCTCATGGGATTAGAACCAACTGGGTTATGCATGAGTACCGGCTGGTTGACTCTGTGTGTGGCAATGCATCATCATCTCTAAAGGTATAAGCTTGTAATACTTGTAGTTGATCATCGATTTTACTATGCATCTAATTCCCTCCTCTTCCCTTTTTCTTCCTTTCCTTTAAAATTGGTAAATAAATATGAAGTTATGGAGTTAAAATCTTATGAAAACCTATTAATATATGGGCTAGCTGCTTGAATTCACCGACGTGGGATCTAAGAGAGAGAGAGAGAGCCTTTAGGGTTGATGAAATGAAATTACAAAAAAAAAAAAAAAAAAAAAAAAAAAAAAGGGTTGGGGAAGAAGAGATAAAAATACAATTAACGACATATATCTACACTTAAATTAATTAAGATGCATATGCATATGATGTAGGAAACTTCCCCAAGATTCATTTAAATTAGTCAATAGTTGTAAGCTAGCAACACATATGACTGTTTATGAGTTACTGTTTACACCAATCTTTTGTACAAAATATATATGTCTATGGACTCAAATAAAGCAAATCTCATCAGTCTTTGTTCTTTTTCTTCCTTTAACATTTTTTTTGTCCTTTTAAAGGAAATAGCTTATCAACATGATGATTAAAGACTCTTCGGCCTACACTTTAGGTGTACTTGCTAGTATCTTTTTCTAGTCTTTAGCATCATCACATATATATATATATATATATATTTCTGTTCTTTTCCCCCTCTTCTTTCTCGTGGACTTGCTTTTCAATTACGGTCTTTGTAATTTGTGTGTTTCTTACATATGCATGCATTTGTAATTTTAACATGCCATGTTAACAAAATTTGAATTTTCTAAACCACAGGACTCTTACGCATTGTGCCGCGTTTTCAAGAAAACAATACAAATGCCCAAGAACAACAAAGAAGAGAAGCCAATTGGGATTGATAATGCAGAGAATGATTCAGTTTGGGTCTCCAATAATGAACAGTTATTAGGGGAAGACAATAGTGGGATTAATGAGACAGCTTCAAGAGGGATTGAGACTGATCAAGATGAGAATTATTCCAATCATGATTATCCCAAATTTCTCTCTGACACTTCTTCTTCAGATCTCACTCAAGGGACACCAACTGAAAATGGCATAGCAGATGATTTTCAAGCTCCATTTGCCTCTGATGAAGCAAACAGTTCTGCTGATCTCTACTCTTTTGGTGTTCACTGCTCCTCAAATCTAAGTGATCAGGTTTGTACAAGTATTGCATATAAGGTTTGAAAAAATTTAGTTTTCTTAGCACAGTACATTTAGACTAGGCCCTATGTTAGACACTCATAGGAATTATTAGTACATTGATTGCATTAATTAGGAAATGGTATACTAGGTACTTTCTTACCGAACAGTCTAACATATTATGTTATTAAATCATTAATTTAGAACATACAATTTAATAAAAGCCCACATGATTAACGATTCAGATTAACGATTTGACGACATTGGTAAGAAAACATTGCCCTTATATAGCAAAATACTATGCTTTTTTTAAGTCTTTCCAAAACCAAAATCTTCATGATTTGATTGCCTCTTTTGCCAAGGCAACATTTTTGGGCAATATTCTACTTTTGTATATAGCTAGCTGCTTTAAGGCTTCATGTTCACACCACATAGAATTTTGAGATCAAGCTGGTCTTACGTAAATCATTTGATGCATCATGGACGCATTTAAACATGCGCAAACAATTCCATGATTGGTTGGAAGTGGCCCACAAAACAAGGCCTTGGAGCTTTCTTTTGATCTTAAAGTAACAAAAGTTATAAGTAATGAGTTACATATAGCTTTTGCTAAAGCTTCGTTCAAAAATCTTTTGTAGTAGACTGACTCAAATGAGCTTTCTTCATCATCTTCTATAACTTCTTTTGACTGACTTAAACATCTTTCTTCCCCATTTTCCTCAGAGTGTTCCTCTCAAAAACTTCTAGCTCTATCCCCAATGACTTTAAATCTCCCTTTAAACAATTTTTTTCTTTCTTTTCTCTTTTCTTTCTTTTTTTTTTTTTTTTCTATAACAAAAACAATCGGTTCAATAATTTACACCGAAAAATGAGCAATGAAAGAATATACATTTTCCAATAATTTCTCACATTCAATCTTCAATCATTCGAGTCTAAACAAGTATCCCTTTTTCTTGTTTTCCTGTTTTCTAAGTATCATGCACATGAATATCTTGTTCTTGTACTGTTTCATGCACCAAAATATAGAACGAGTCATGTAAGCTTATTTGAATTTTGCCTCACATATAATTTGCATCTTGATTATCTTGGTTTATGATTGTGATCAATATTAATTCGTTGTATCCATCTGCGAATTTATTATGCAGGAAACATATATACCACACAATGAAAGCTTATTGAATAACTATCAATTTCCTTACCCACCCTTAGAACTTGAAGACTTCCCGCAGATCAATTTAGCTGCAGAGGCAAATGCATCGAAGCCTGAAATCATCGACGACTACTTGTCGTACGACAAATTCAAGGATTGCATGAATGGAACACTTGAAGAAATCTTCTCTTTATGTTCCTCTCAAGACAACTCTGCCGCCCTCCCCATGCAAGAATTATAAGTACTACCCTGACGTACACTCACATATTTTCATATACTAGAATTCATTCACACACAAAGGTAGAATTTAGAATTGTGTTTGGCTAAATTTATTACTAATAACCAGAAGTGGTGGATTATATGTTGACAGCAATGAGATGATCATGATAAGGCGCTATCTATATATAATGTACCACACAAGAGAATGAGGAGTCAAAGCAAACATTTATATATATTTTTTTCTTTTATAATGTTCCTTGTAATTTTGATTCCCCCCTTTTTGCATGTTGGTGTTGATTCATTTTAAGTCAATTTTGGGAAGGGAAATGGATACGCTGATTATATTGTAACACTGTTATTATTATTATTATTATTTTTAAAATTTATTGTGGCAGTGTCCATGGGCTACAGACGCAATGTACGTACATGTCTTTGACTAGGCCCGGCATATGGGATGAGTTTTTGTGTTGGCAAAGCCTAATTTGGCTCTGATTACGATTAACAATCTCATAAGCACGAGAATAGGAGGCCCAACCCAAGTGATATTAATTTGGCCCTAGAAACTGAAATAGTAACCTACAATTTGTTTTGTCCCTAACTTTTTGTCTTTTCTTTTTGCTTTTTTGATGAGGCAACCTAACTATGGGGTCTTTCAAAAAATATATTAAAAACTAAAGTCACATCATTGTAGTTTAGAGGTTTTGATTTGAGTGTTCTATATATACAGTGTTATTTTAAAGTACGATTTGCGGGGAATTCGCTAATATACGATGATTTCATTTCCGGGAGAGTGTGATAGTGAATGTAGTAGTACCATAATTTCTTATAGTGCAAAAGAGGATTTTACAATGTTGTTTGATTAATTTGAGGGTTCATGAAATCAATTGCCAAGGGTGCCACCACTCACTCAGCACTACTCACTAACTACACGGGAGAATTGGACTGAATTGTTGGAAAAGAGGCATTCTCCAATGACAATAAAAAGGGGAAGGTCTCTTTATGGAAGGGCACCTTTAGTCTTTTTAAAAACATCATTACATAAATAGTCAAGCTCTATTTGATTACCTTTCTCTTTTTTGATAAAATTATTCCAAAACAGTCAAGCTATGTATGATTTCCAAAAAGAACCAAGCTAAAGTAAGAAAAATTATTTAACTGAGTTCTATATGCACACACAGAAAGTCTAATAGTTCCATGCAAAATCAGCCATAGAGTTCAGATCATGAGATGTTACTCCTGTAGACATAAGTGTAGACTCCAAAAAGCTAAAGTCAAAGCTAGAGCTCTCCATCAATGAAGCATCCATGTCCTGATCAATAGCCTTGATCATTTCCATATCCAAGAGCTTTTCCTTTTCTTGCTGCAGTACTTCTTCTGATCCCATCGATTGCTCTCCCTCTAATAATATTCTTGGGGCTTCAAAGGGCTGAGCACCAGCAGCATAGAGGCAATTACTATTATCCAAGAGCCCAAACACTGATAGGTTCATTGAGGAAGATGATGATGAAGAGGAAATGTTGAGTGTGCTTTCTGCAGATGGTTCATGGAAGGTAGGATCCTTAACACTAGTCCAAGCAGCATTAGGGTTTTGATCATCATGATATTGATGAGTGGGTGGTGTGGCTATGGTTTGGACCATTGGAGGTTGTTGAGCATTGTACAATGTTACTATAGGTGATGATGATGAGTTTAATTCTGCTGAACAATTTTTCTTCTGTGAATTCACAGTAGTGAAATTTACTGAAATGGGTTTCTGTTGGTCATGGGGTTGTGGTCTGCTGCTGCCTCCAATCTTATTAGATGATCTCTGATGAGAAGAGATCAAGTTATGGGTTTTTGGGTCCAAACCTTGTGACATGAGCTTTTTCTTAATGCATGAATTCCAGAAATTCTTCACCTCATTGTCTGTCCTTCCAGGGAGGTGCTTGGCTATCTGAGCCCATCTGCCACATTAACCAAAATTAACCAAATTAACCAAAATTAACCAAATTAACCAAAATTTCTATGAAATCTAGCTTTTCCCAACATCTCACATCACAGGAAATTCCTTACCTGTTGCCTAAAATTCTGTGAACATCAATGATAATCTGTTCTTCCTCAGGAGTAAAGGAGCCCCTTTTCAGTTCTGGTCTCAAATAGTTTATCCACCTCAACCTGCAACTCTTGCCACATCTCTGCAAGCCTACTAGGACATAAAACTATTTAATCACATACACAAACGCTTACGTTAACATACACATGCTTATATCGTCAGACTGTGAATCTCAGCTACGCGTTGCTAGACAGTCTGATGATAAAACATTATTTTCCTTGAACCCCGGCCTTTCCTCACTCAATGCCACACAAACAAACAATTAAGAGATCTTGTATACCTGCATGTTTTGGGACAGAACTCCAACTGCCATGGCCGCGGGTGGTGATGTGTTTGATGAGCTTCTCATCTTCTTCAGGTGACCATAGACCTCTCTTGACCTTCTGTTTGCCACAGCAGCGATGGCCCATCTTACCCCTGCAACCCACTCTTCCTCAAGAGTTCTCAGCTCCAGATTCTTATATTATATACACGGCCCCTTCACGCACAAGTTTAAGTATGCATATTTTAATATTCATATATAATTGTTTATAATCAGACAACACATACAATATTCATTTCCTATTTTCAATCCGAAATGGAGAGAGTCAATTAATTGATTAATTAATTAGTGTGTGAGTGAGATTACTGTGTGACATACGCATGACAAAGGGCCAACTGGTAACACATTTATATTTTATAATAACATAATCATTGCACCAATATATATAAGATATTCGTAAAGTATATCAGTAACAAATAGCATTGCATAAACTAATCATACATAAAAATAATGCTACTCTTATCGCATTTGTATGTCATATTTTCATACAATCTTATGTGACTGATGAAATGGACAGCCATATCAATTAAAAAGTGTCAATAAATCATAAAAGAAATGTTAAATTAATTTTAATTGATGTGGTTTACATCTTATCTGCCATATAAGGTGATATAGAATGTGGTATACAAATGTAGTAAGAGTATAACATCATTCCATGCATAAAACACCTACAACGATGATTTTGTTCTATGGTCAAGGTCAACCATTTTGTAGTTAAACTAATTCAATCTTCTCTTACACACACATTAATTTGCCAGATAGCTAGTTAGTGTAAGATAGTTATAATTCTAAAATGTGGAGCACATGAGGCCACTGGACTTCACACGAGGGCAAACCTTGCTCCGATACCATGAGGTTCCGCATAGGGGGAGTAATCCAACTCTTTATAAGCACAAATTTATTAATATTATAATATGAAACATTTCTTCACATCCTCACAAATTTAAATCAAATATGACGTAAAAGTAGTTATAGCTATTCTACTGAAGATGATCCTAAACATGAATTTGATTTTATAATAATATGTTTTTCCAAAATTAGAGGAAACCCACAAGTACAATAACCATTTGGGTAACATCAAGGGAAACATGAACCCACTTGTGTTTTTTTAAATTGGGATATATCTATCGATAGCCTCCTATTCCATGTGTATCTACCTGAGTATACCTGAAAGACAACAAGAATCCAATAGAGATCCTGTCTGTTTTGTCATGAAAGCTAATACCCCAATTAAGAAATGTGCTGGAAATAGTAACTTGGGGTGCACTCATGAGAGGGTAAGGACCACAAAGGTTTAATTGAGTGCTTTGTTTCTGGTAAGCCATCGATGGCTTCTTACTACTTTCAATTACAAAACTCATTACAGTTCATTGCACCAATTAGAGATGGAGGATGCACAAACAAAACATGTGCTTTGAGAAGCAACCTCCTCGTCCTTAATCATTTTGCTTTGCTAAAATGTAAACAAAAAGCCTCCACTAAATACATCTACGTTTGCATGGTGAAAACGTGCAAGTCATAATATTCAAACACAACAAAGATTTAGATCAGTTATTCGATCTCTAATAGACATTTTATGTAGTAAGAAATTTGTAGCTCAAGTGATTAAGAACAGTTATCACAACACGCTGTTAACAAAGGAAGCTTTGACATGATGAAGAAGAAGAAAGAATTAGAACTTGAGCTAAGAGAGAATTGAGAGAGAAATCTTTAAGAATTTTCTGAGTGTTATTTCTTAATGATCAACTTCCTTCATACCTGAGGTCTTGTATTCAAATTCAATCTCCTCTAATATTATTTGTATTAAAAAAATAGATATTTTATGAGACCGTAAAATATCTAATACAGGACCATATTTGTCCTCTCAGAAAAGCTTTCTTAATCAAATTCATTCTCAACCCATAATTTAGTTTTGGAATGATCTCGACTTCTCTTTTTTCAAGCTGGACATACTTTTCCCTTATCATCTTAATTCATTAGCTATGTACCTTCTTATATCTTTTCTTTCCCTTACGAAACCTCATCTTTGTTTTAGTTTCTTGTTTTCTCTAGTTACTTTTTGAAGTGGTCTAAGGGATGCGTGCTAGTCACGTGCATCCGTTTTAGACATCTTGGTGATGATTTATTTATATTTTTCTTTCTTAGCTGCATTCCTTGTATAAGTGTAATATGGAATCATTGTTATGTTAATTAAAAAAATCCAGTGTTTTGTTGGATAACGCTTTCTCTCTATCTATTTCTCTGCGCTTTCTCTCAAGGAAAACAGTACTTAGTCAAAGTTCAACTTAATTTCCCTTTGTTCTGTCTTATATATATATGCTGTAATATCGAGGAAAATTCATATCTTTTGATACAAGCGATATTGAGGAGGGGGGAATTGAATATATGACATCGGGTGCAAGAGTAAATACTCTTAACCAGTTAAGCTACAAATTACTAGAGAAAAATTTATATCTAGATAATATTTTGAATACTTCTTCACATGGACTCATGACCAATTCAATCCATTGAAGTTAACGAAATCACTCAATACTTGCAAGTTATGCATTTGAAGTATTGTGTTTGATTTTTCCCTCCTCCAGTAATCACTTTGAACCACCTCAGTGCACATTGTTGAAAATACAACAATTTAGTGCTAATTTTAAATTCATCATACTAAAAGAAAATTAGCTCATTCCATCCTTACAAGAATTGGTCCACTGCACTCGAATAACTTCTTGCACAAAACCACTCAGCCACGAACACATAATAGACAAATGAAAAAGATTATATCCCAGTCGTGTGAAAATTTTTAATTCCACCCTACGTATATCTAATAAAAACTCAACATTCCGTAAATTAAAATCGGTATATCGCTCTTTTGGGTAGATCAATGTTAATAAAAGATACGAAAGAAAAGGTAATCAAGTGCAATCACAAAAATCATGCATATGATATGCATCTCTTTTTTCCCATAATTTACTTTTGAGAAATTAACCATGGATGGATTATCGCTTCACACGTATTCATTACTCCTTGTCATTTACTTTTGTGTCTCTAGCTAACCTAATTGTTCACGTTTTGTCTCCATGCCGTCTGCATGCATAGTATCTATGAAGTATTAATTTTTCTTTTTTTGTCGAAAGTTGAAATTTAATATATAAAAAAAGGAACCTCACTCGAAACAGGGAGAGCACTGAATTACAAAACAAGCAACCCAGTAAGGAAGTACAACAGAACAACTAATCTGTGACATCACATGAACAAGAACACCAAAATTGTCCCAGATAATGATACCAACAGATAAACAAAAGTTAAAAATACAACAAAAATTGAAATAAAACAGCAAAATGCCCAATTGAACAACAAACAACGGATAAACTTGTCGGCCACAAATCCACCACCACAACCCCAAAACAACTCAAATCCGTCAAAAACCATAACCCCATAACCCCGAAACCATGAAAATAGGAAGGAGGTGGTGCAAGTATAGACTATACATGATTTCATGTTTTGTCGCTATGCCTTTGCATGTACAGTATTTGAGCAGCATTTTTAGACTAAACTTGCTTTTCCCAAAAGCCTTCCCAAAGAAGAGAACAATTTACACCAACACGGTGGAAGATGACCTTAATTTTGTAGACCAATGATTTCATGTTTGGAACTTTATGTTATCTTAGAAGTGTGTGTGAGAAAATTCTCTCTCTTCTTTTTACTAACAAAAAAAAAAAACAAAAAAAAAAAAAAAAAAAAAAAAAAGGGAGGAAAAGGAAGAAACAATTCATCCAAAGGCGACAATATTCCCAATAATCATGATTAATGTCCCATCACAAGTTATTACACCAGTCCATGTCAATTTGACATTTATGATTTTCTGAAGTATTATAGTGAATGACTAATCATTAACAACTCGCTTTTGCGGATGTTATGAGTCTTATGACCCACTAATTAGTATCACACCTTTTAATTATGTTCTCCCATGTTCTATTATGGAACTGTAATTAATATAATTCCGCTGATAAACAGATCTCCAGAAATTTAGCAGTTGCAGTGCCTCCACGGCATAGCTGATGAGCTGAGTTATCGTTAAAAACTAATTATGCGATTATTGTAAACGACACCAACTAGCTATTAGTCTAACGATATTTCTCTTCTTTCAATTTATTGGAAGAGGAAGACTCAAGTTCAAATCCGTCCTTCCTTCCGTGTTAATTCGTAGACAAATTATTGTGAGAGGCAGTCTATATAACAGGACAAACAACTCTTAATTCTTCTAATGTTATTTATATTATCATCACTACTTTCGTCACTCATACGGTAGATTTAGTCAATGCCAAACTTTGATGTTTCTTGTAGTTGCATACATGTTTGTGTTTCCAGTTATATATCTAATCACTTGTCTTGCTAATTAATCCTTGTCTTAAGGACGTCAGTGGATAGCGAGGACCAATAGCAAATCATATGTTTGCTAGTCTGACTGCAAAGCTCTCTCTTATATAATTTAGAACTAAAATAAAATTATATTTTTTTTATTTCTGGATTTTACTCGATCGATCGTGTTAAAAGATGCACAGCAATGGAGTGCTCAGCATTGTTTATTGATAATGACATGATTGGGTTAGAGGTTTGTCGCCTGGGATTAAGCTTGAGCAAGACGCTTTTGGTCTGATAAGGAATATTTATCTTTCTATCACTTTCTATAAAGCATTTGCCCATATGGTTGTATATAATGACTTAATTTGTAGAGCAAAACTTTGATTTGAAATAAAAAAAACAATGACTTGTATGTATGCCTCATTTTGTAGAAAATACTACCCACCTCATACATTTCTTGCAGCGAGTCATATTTTCATATACCACATTAGCACGATGACGTGGTATATCTGGTTACCCTCTAGATTATTTTTTCTTCTTCATTTCATGAGATAGAAAGTTTAAATCTTACGCATTCCTTGAACACAAATTAGTATAATGACGTGGTATGGTGTCTTATACGATGGTAAAAGAAAAATTCAAAATCTGCATCAGATAACATAAGACAAATTCAAAAGCCATCAGCATATGCATTGACGTTCATGGTCAAGTGTTCATACGAGTCAAGAGTCCATGATGGTCAGATTCTTAGGTACACCTGATCAGATTCATTACAAGACAAAGTCATCAACATATCCAACTCCAACTCCCAAGTTTATGGGCAACGCCGTTTCTAATCAGCTAGCCCCAAATTCATCATCTATAAGTCTATAATCCAATTCTTAGGGTTACGTGATCAATTGATTTTATCTCTCCAATACGCTACTTCTCTCTAATTAGCATATTAATTAGCACAGTTAATTTCCCATAACCCGAGCAAGATGTCAATTCACTGATTTAAAAATCTTCACTTTGGCTTCTGATTCAATTCCTTCCTTAATGTAAAATATGTATTAGTTAGAACAGTTTGTGTCCCTACATTAAAAATCTTGTAAAACAAGAAAACGCAAAGGCAATCAAAGTCTAAATTTCAGGTTGGCAAAAGCTCTAGCTAATGCAAAGGTAAAAAAAAAAATAATGCAATGTGGATTTTTGACCCCTGAGTTGGAGAAAACGGTGTCGATGAAGTGCAAGAGTGAATAATCAAGCATACAATTTAAACCAATTAATATTCTATTGACGACTGTGTCCAATAATGACTGACCTATTTGACAAAATCTGATGAACAATTGCAAGGTTGCAAGTCTTTGCTCTACATATACATGTGTCTGTCTCTGTCGTTCTAGAATCATGTGAAGTTGCCAAGACGTATAATTTGGAGATGCTCTACTAATTCTTGGCAAGGCTACCAACTTAGTCACTGTAGCTAGGGTCCGCAATAGGATATATGAAATGGAGAAAAAGTGTTTGGAGTTGAAATTAATTAAGCTAGCTCAATTATGGTCGGGAATGTGATAATTTAGGGTTTATGGTATTATTTGTAAGGGATTGAAGGTCATCAGAAGATGTATGATTCATACGAACTAGCTCTTAACTTAGTAGCATTTCTCTTTTTAATATTAGAAAAGGTTACAAGGTCGAATTCCCGTCTTCACTTAATAAAGAAAAAAAAGAAGAAGATGTGTATGATTCATAATTGGTGGTAGTCTAGTAGGAAAATTATATCTAAGGTTAGAGTTTTATAGGATGGGATGTGATAGGCCCAAATCTCAGAATAGAAATAAGTGAATATATGGTGCAGCCCCAAGCAGGTTGAGCTCAATCCAATGTAAGTAAGCAATAATCAGAGCAGAGGACTAAAACTATTGGGCTGAGTTTTGGGTTATCCATCAAATCCAAAACTCACAGAAGAGTTAGTATTGTTTGGCCCTTGGCCTCCACTTGACAAAATACATTTATGGTAAATTACAATGAGTAAATCATCAAATAGTATACAACTTTTATGTATATTTTTCAAAATCGATAAAATTTCCTCCCACCAAAAAAAAATAATAATAATAATGGAAATTCTAAAAATCCCAATAGATTTGAATTTACAAAAAATGATAAATAAAAATATAACTTCTTTTTCATTTAAGGCAATAGATGCGTAGTATTTGGATACACTAGTGTTGTTGATATTTATTATTATTTTTTTTTTTTTTTTTTTTTTTTTTTTTTTTTTTTTTTTTTTGGGTTTTTTGGGTGGCTTAATTATGTATATGTACCTCATGTGCTTTCAAACTTATCTCTGATTATCACCTGTGTTTGCAAACGATTCAAAATACCCTCAAACCTTTTAAAAACTATCTCAGGTTATCTATTCCGTCAGTTTTTTTGACGTTCCGTTACGAACATTGGGCCCCACTTCCTTTTTTCTTCTTTTTTTCTCCTCATCTCCCCCCCTCCAATTCGAGAACAGCAGTCCCTCCCCTTTGTTACTATTCATTCGATCAGTTTACATCTCAGCGACTGCCAACCGTCGTTTGGATCGCCGGAAAAAACAAAAAATTCGCCGGTTTTTACCCAAAATCTCCAACGCTCGTTCGAGCGATTTCGAGCACTATTTGCTTCGATCCAAGTATGGTTTTTCAACCTCTCGAGCTGTTCTTGCTGCTAGTTGTGTTGGTTAGGAGAAATTTCTGAGTTTTGGAGGGTAAATAAGCGATGAACAGTAACAAAAGGGAGGGGCTGGTGTTCTCGAATTGGGGGGTGGGGGGTGGGGGGGAGGAGGAGAAAAAGAAGAAGAAAAAAGGAAGTGAGGCCCAATGTTCGTAACGGAACGTCAAAAAAACTAACAGAACAGGTAACCTGAGACTGTTTTTAAAAGGTTATGGGTACTTTGAGTCATTTGCAAACAAATGTAGTAATCTGAGACAAGTTTGAAAGCACAAGGGGCATGTACATAATTAAGCCTTTATTTATTTATCAAATTTCAACTTATTGCAAACACAAAATTTGTGCAAATCTACATTTTTATAACCTTTTTTTTTTGGGCATGAATTGGGGGGGAAAACCCCCCAAACAACACAACTACACAGAAAAATGCTTAATATCTTGATTATCATGAGAATAATTTAAAAAGAAACTTATTTTCATATGCCGTAACTCTTATTTAACTTATACTTGTACAATTTTCTAAAGAAAAAAAAACCTTGTGTGCTTGTATAATTCACACATTGCAAAATCTTATAACCAAAGGTGAAGTATGACACAATCTTTCCCATTTAAATTTCTAAAACCTAAATTTATAATGTAACAAAAATTATAAAATAATAATTTAAAGAGTAATCCAAAAAAGAAGAAAAAAAAAGAGAGGCCTCCGGGGTGAAATGCTCGGCAGCAGCCAGTCCCAGTTCAGTCTGTCTGCAACGCAGAAAGACCCTTAAACCCCAAAAATCTCAATATCCTAAAAGAAGTTTAAACGTAAAAATGAGAGGCGGAACCGCCATTGGAATAGGAAGGAAGCTCACGAACCCACCATCAAGCCTCTCCATTTCCAAACAAACCCTAATCCCCTTCTCCACTTCCTCCAACAGTGGCGGTGGCCGAGGTAGAGGTCGCGGCGGTCCATTTCCCCCGACTCCCGCCCGATTCGACTTCACTCCCCCACCTCGCGTCCCTGGTCAACCAGACTCCGACGACCCCAAACCTGACCCACCCCCGTCCGCGCCCGGACTAGGCCATGGCCGCGGCAAACCCTTACCTACCTTCTCTTCCTTCGTCTCTGCCATCAAACCCAATTCAGGAACTGGTCGTGGCCAGCCGAGTCAAGTGCAATCCATCCCCGAATCACGTGATTCGGTGGCCCCTGATGCCGGACCCAGCAAACCCATTAAACCCATTTTCTTCGTAAGGGGAGATGAGTCCGGCCCGACGTTGCCCGGTAGCGGGCGGGGAAAACCCATGAATTTTACCCGCCCGGAGGTTCAAGTTAAGGAGGAGAACCGGCATATTCAGGCCCGATCCGAACCGGATCCGGACCAGCCTAGAACCAGGCCCAGAGGTCCGAAGTTGACCCGGGAAGAGGCGGTGAAGCAAGCGCTGGGAATATTGGCACAGGATGGTGCTGAGGGAGATGATGTTGGTGGTGGTGGTGGCAGAGGCAGAGGCAGAGGGAAAGGGATGAGAGGCAGAGGAAGAGGCCGAGGCAGAGGAAGAGGAAATTTTAGAATGAGTGAGGGAGGGGATAGGAGAAGGGGTAAGGATTCGGATGATAGCTATGCTTCAGGGCTCTATCTTGGGGACAATGCTGATGGGGAGAAGCTGGCTAAGAAGCTTGGCCCTGAGATTATGAATAAATTGGTCGAATCGTTTGAGGAGATGAGTAGTGAAGTGCTGCCTTCGCCTCTGGATGACGCGTATGTGGATGCCATGCATACCAATTTTATGGTAAGGAATGCTTCAATGCTATGTCTTTTTTGGTTGCTAAGGAAGTGTAGGAAAGGAGTAGCATGTTTCAGATTGTGAATCTTATGTTGTCTGCTTGTTAGAGATTGTTGTAGTTAACTGAGCCTAGTACTGCATTTAGCTTTGTGCTAAGATTCATGTTGTCTGCTTGACAATTTTCGACAATTTTAGTTTTTTGACGCTGTGGTGATTGTTCACTATTGTTATTTGGATTGCAGATAGAGTGTGAACCAGAGTATCTGATGGGAGAGTTTAATAAAAACCCGGATATTGATGAGAAGCCACCTATTTCTCTCAGGGATGCTCTTGAGAAGATGAAGCCTTTCTTGATGGCATATGAGAATATTCAAAGTCAAGAGGAGTGGGAGGTATATTTTGTTTTCGAGTGTTAATTTTTTTCTGCTGATTTTGCTATTGTGCAGTTCAATCCTGCATCTTTATCTTTAATTCATGCTATAATAGGAGTTTGGGTTCTGCTTGGCCTTTTTCTTCATTGCAAAGTCATTGGACTTTGGTAGCAGTTGAATTTGATGTTAGGAATTTAGGTTTGTTGGAAGCAGGAACCCTTTTCAAGATGATCAAAAGCTGTATCTTATTTTGTTTCTGCTTGATTGCTGTCATATTCACTTCTCTTTGATAATGCACATGTGCCATCTAGGTTGTTTATTTATTGGTTATCTAGACTTTATCAGATAAGAATCTGGTAAAATGAAATTATTCTCAAACCTTTATGTTTTGTACCTAATTTGTTTTAGAAGGTCTTCAACTCATATCAGGGAGCTCTAATTGACAGAAGTTGGGAGTGGAAAATATTTTGGACTTCAACTATGAAAGGAAATGTGGGGGGTTTGATTCTTATATGCACCTGATCTGCTTGTTCTCTAAGTTGACATTTTATTTTTTGGCATATTGATGTCTTATTACCTACAACAAAGAGAAAAGTTGAGGAATGTGTGTTTGCAAGAGAGTAGACTTATTGAGAGTGATAGCCAGGAAGGGTGAAGGGGCAATCAGCTCTCTGGTTCCAGTTTTCAACAGTTGGTTTATGTACTCGGCTACCACTTTTGGTGACCTTTTCTAATGATTTTAGTTTTTTGTTGTTAGAAAAAGAAAACTGTCTTTGTTTTATGGAAAAAACCAGATATAGAAATCGATATGGGCAACTGTTATTCATTCTTAAAAAGAGAGAGTGGGAGAGAGGTAAAGGAGAAGGAAAAGGACTGCGAGAAGGTGCTCCCGTCTAGAAGGCTTATTTAATTGTCTTTTTAAAGGTTGTCAAATGCATCGTTTGTTCCATTTTCCAAATAAAAGTAAACAACGAAAACAAATACGGAAATTTAACAAATCAGCTTTTTAATCTTTTAACCTTCGCCACTACTGGGCTTACTTTGTATCTCATTTAAGGGTCTTGGACTGGTTATGGGAGTAATTTGACGTAGGGTAGACCTACCATGAGTTTGTAGGCTACTAAAGGTTATGGGAGTAATTTGATGTAGGGGAGACCTACTAAAGGTTAATTTTTAAAACTTCATTATTAATGCACTGATTATGTTTGATTCTTGGGAATTGGTATGGTGGACCTTAAACTTTGAGCATGCTCATAATAAATAAAAGTACAGTTCTTGTAAATGGGGTGACTCATTTGTTTATGTTATTCTATGACCTCTTTGATATCATCAGGAAGTCGTGAACGAGACTATGGAAAGAGTTCCATTGTTGAAAGAAATTGTTGATCATTACAGTGGGCCAGATAGGGTAACTGCAAAGAAACAACAAGAAGAGTTAGAAAGAGTTGCAAAAACTCTTCCTGCAAAGGTACCTGATTCTGTAAAGCGGTTCACTGATCGTGCAGTGCTTTCTCTCCAGGTGCGTGTTTTGTCCTTGTGCATTCTAAGGCCTCATGTTGTCTATCCAATTTTATGCATGAAAAACAACATAGCAATTTTTAATTTTCTTTGCCTTTGGTTGTTCTTTTGTCATATTATATTTTGGATGATTTACTCTTGGAGCCTCATGTTCCGGGAGTTCCATTTATGCTGTCTTGAAATTGTTTCACTGCATTGTTGAGGGACAATATTAGTCAGTTTGGCATGTTCATACAAAGAAGGGTTCTCTTTCTCAAGAGCATGGCACCAACATGTCCGTACATTTTACTGTTTAGGATGAGCTGTAGCGTAATCATCTGTGCAGTATAATGTCAATTTGTGTACAATAGTTGTTTTACTATTCCTTTGAGCGTACATGGGATGGGTATAATAAGTTGTTGAAAATTAATTTTACTTTATAGTTTAACTTGTATTTATTTCTTTCGTATTAAAATTTATGTGAAGAAACACTACATAAGTATTTTGTTCATCACACTCTCTTGATTTGCAGAGCAACCCTGGCTGGGGATTTGACAGGAAATGCCAGTTCATGGATAAGCTTGTGGCGAAGGTTTCCCAACACTACAACTAAACTCAGGAAGCTTAGTTTTTAATCGTTAATGCTGAAAATGGTCATTGCCTAAAGCTCTAATGCTGAAAAGAAGTTAATTATGCTTTGATTTCTTGAGTTCAATTTTTTTATTCCTCAGAATTTTGTGCTTATAGTTCTTGTTCTAAGCTTTTTTAGTTGCCATTAGAGAAAGAAAATGTCAAGCTGTCTTAAAATTCTATCTGCAAAAGTGACAGAAGAGTTGCATAATTTGTCTGTAATAATTTGCTCTCTATGCAGCATAGCACTTTTTGTGAAGCGCTTGTCAGGGCGTTCGATTGAATGCCGATAGTATATGCTCAATGAGCTGATTACGTGATTTGTTGCTTGCTTATAAGAAAGGTTGTTCCTTTTACATACTCTTGACATATTGTTTATCATGTGCATTACATGTTCACTGAGGAATTGTTGCATTGGCATCCAGTGAGAAGAGCTACAATCCAATCCCGGTAAAACTAGTTTTAGATTTGGTGAAGTTAACAGCATAAGCATTTAAAGTTTTTGGCTTTAGATGGTCTTTTGATCAGTTTCTGGCTGTGTAGCTAATCTAAACTGGAAATCATTGAAATGAAACTCGGAGAACGACAATTTTAAGGAGCAAGATTTGCTCTTCATTGTTTGTTTTCTTATTCCATGTAGCTAACGTTGCCCAAGGTTCAAATGCCCTTGAGCCCAAAAACAGAAGGAAAAAACAAAAGGTGATCCTCATCTGCTTTTGTTCTTCTTTTGGGTAATTGAAGATACACTCTTCTTCTACCCAATTCATTTCGATGTTGTCATAAGTCTTTGAATCTTCTAAATATTGATGACTGTGTCATGCGATGATGCATGCTGCTCATTCTTCGTTTATTTTGTGCCTTAAACGCAGTAGATCTTTTGTGTCAAATGCTGATTGTATTCCACCACATTTTTTTTTTTATATAAGCGACATTTTATTTTAATCTAGTCTAAACTATGAGGAGGGGATTCGAACTTGTGTGCATAATAGGGTACATATACGCTCTAACCAACTTCACTAAGCACGTGTCTGCAGTTGGATCCCACAGCTTTATCAACCATGTCAGGCTCTATAACATCATTTTGTCGATATGATCATATTATGAATCTTTATTATCGTTATCATGTTGAGAGAGTTGTGAGTGTATGACCGCCAAAAAGCTCCAAAAGCCTGGGTCCATGCTTTTCTAATCAACAGCTGCACTGCACTCCACAAAGCCTGCTATGATATCTTCAACATATATAAACAATTTTATCTGGAAAAAGAAAAAGAAAAACCCTTTTTCTTTGAGTTTCTGGGGTCTTCAAAGCTTATCGATAAAATTTGAACAGCTTTTTTGGTCCACGTGATGGCCACAAAAAAATACAGACAAATATTATAGTAGAGTTGTTTTTCAACTTGAATTGATTCTTACAAACGTACACTTTGATTTCATTTTGACATGAAGAAATAGAAATAGCAGATGGTATTGAAGGGTGATGATCAAACTTTTTTTTTTTGTAAAGGAGATGTATGACAAATTTTGATATTTTACAAAGACAATTCCAATCCAACTCTCAACTAGCTATGTCCACCATTTAAAAACGCAACTTTAGATAAGTTAAGCAAAGGTAGCCCTACAAGACAAAGGTAGTTCAAATCAATCTAGACACGACCAACCGCGTTACAAGCAGCTGTGTCTTTGTACTCTTGTTCATCCATCGTATCACAAATCCCACAGCCTCTTGTCTCTGGCAAACATAAAGCAAACAACCCACAAACCCCAACCACAACCCCAAACACTCCATACGACAAAAACCCGCCATTGGCTCTCCCAGCGGCCGCCAGCATCGGACTAAACACACCACCCAACACCACCGCTTGCCTCACCATCGACAGAGCCGAGTTTCTCACGCACGTGGGAAATAGCTCAATCATAAATATAAGCAAGACATTGAACGCTGAGCAGGCGCTGAAAAAAGACACAAGCTCGAACCCAATTTGTAATCTTGTCCATATTGGATTCATCCCTTTCAGCACAGACATAATGCTGCAAATCCCACAAAGGCTGGTGAAAACAAGGAGTGACGTTTTCCCTGTTCATTTGGTCGATGAAGAAGAATGCGATTAATGAAGCTGGTAGCTCAGACAAGGCATTGAATGTGACACTCAGGTAGAGATTGAAGTTCAGGCTTCCCAAGGCTAAGGGCATGCCATAATACACCATTCCGGTGCCAAACCCTATTGCCATAACCGCGGACAATCTCCGAAAAGCCCATCTTCTCTCTACCAGAACACTGATCGACGAGTAGAGATCAACGTTCCATGTTTCTTGCTCTAAGGACAAGCTCGAAATAAAGCTTGAGGTAAATGGTGTTTTAGTAGTAGCACTATCAATGGGTGCAATGCATTTTAGGGTTGCAATTGCGTCTTCTTTGCGACCTCTAACAAAGAGCCATCTTGGTGACTCACGAACCAAGAAATGAACCGTAATAGAATACAAAAACGTGGGAATAGAAGTCCAAATATAGAGGCTTCTCCATGAATGAGCTCTTTGACTATATGCTATTGCGGGTAGGGATAGAAACCCTAGGGTGAAGCAGAAGAATCCGATAACACCAACTTGGCCGCGCCACCGCCTCCCAACAAGCTCCGTTGATAAGACAAGAGCGGAGGTGCCAATGGTGGCGCGGCCAAATCCGGTGATGAATCGGAGGGCGGAATACATCCATATGTTGGTAGAAAAGGCGGTGAGGAAGGTGGACAAAGACATCATGAGACATGAGAGAAACAACATGTTTTTGCGTCCCAATGACGTATCAGCAAGTGTGGCCAAGGCCAGTCCGCCAATTAAACAGCCCATAAAAAAGGCGGAGGCAGGCAGGCCAGTCACGAGGGATGACGAGCACTCAAGGGCCCATTCAGAGACGGTGGAGGTGTATTTCGGCCTGTCCCAGGCCCATAAATTTTGGGGAAGTTGGCAAATGTTGGAGGCTGAATTGCATGAGCTGTGGCGGTCAGTGAGCTGGGTGCAGTGCCATGTTGGCTCCGCGTCTGTGAAGACGGTGATGAAGGTTTGTTGGGCATCAAAGAACCATGAAAATGATACAAGGATGGCTTGGAGGAATTGGGCCCACCCGAAATCTCCGATGCACCGTTCAATCGTGGAGTCGAGGGAGGGAAGGTGTGTGTGCAGTACCGGGGGTTCTGAGTCGGCCAAGTTGAGTTCGGAGAGAAGAGGTGTTGAATCAGCCATTTGGTCCAGAGCTAAAAGCAAACGTTTGAGTTATGAATGAGTGAAATAATATAATGAATGCTTTTATAGGGCTTTTGGTGTTTGAGAAAATTATTGGTGCTTTTGTATAAGAATTTCAGTAAGAGCAACTTATGTATATAAATTAGTGTACACACATCAACAATCTATGAACATAATTAAACGTGTTTCACATGGCATCTGCGCATCTCTTAACTTTTCTTGCAATGGGCTGCTCTTTCAATTTGGTATATGGGGGACCAACTTTTACGAAGTTTGAGGGAATATCCTACTTTTTTGTTTCCAAATACATATTCTTTTTCATTTATATTGTTTAAATTTCATCAAGGCAGTAATTACAAGACAATTGACAAGCATGCAGTATCACAAAAGGTGGTTTTATACAAGGACTTGTCATAGAGTTTTATTGGTTCGGAAGACTACTTGATATTTCTAAACTGAATTAATTAACACAAGATTGGGCGTCATATAATTTTTTTAAGATAAAAACGATAGATTACATTTATAATTCAAGCACAAACACCGTCAGCTACAAAATTAGCTTCACGAATTAAGAAAAGAAAGAGAGCACACATTTTAGCTTTGTTCCTTGCACGAATTAAATAAACAAATATCACTTGGAAGTCTGAGTTCGGATATTGAATGGCGAACATTGCAATTGGGTGGTAAGTATTGATAAATCTTTCCTCATGCTTTAATGTGACCCACACGTTTACATATCAATCGCAAGTGACAAGTACTCTAATTTAAATTAGAGAATTGAAAACATTCACGTAATTGGATGTTTGAGGCATCAATCTTATCACTACAGAACATAGTTTAATCAAGACTTAAAAAATCATATAAACACTAACCACATGAAGCAAACAAAAAATGGCGGTGGTTGGGTTAATATTAAACGTCATTGAGCTTCTTAACATTGATCGACGCATTAAGCGACAAGAGGGGTCAGGTTAAGAAATTCTTAACTGGAATAAAATTAATGGTTTTGAGCTTTTGGTTTTTTTTATTATTTATTTATAGAGAGCTTTTGGTTTTCCATGGTTAACAACTCGAAAACTTGCTTTCCAGCCCACAAGATATATATGGTTTAGTTTTGCTTGATTTTCCACAACATGGAATGGAAGTGCACTTTAATAATGTTAGAAAGTGGCAGATGACAAAGCTTCTATCAGGTATCACCATCTATTAGTATATTGTTTCAAGCATGCATGAATCGACCATCCTCCAACTTGGATAAAAAAGAAGCCTTTTAGATATTCTAAAATAAAACTCCTTTTTCCCTTTTTGGGTCTGAAATCTTCCTTTTATGACATGAAGGAGCCAATAGATTATGGCAGGCAGGCACATTAATGATTGAAAATATTTTCACTCAACACTTTAACTTAAGGTGTATTTTTATCATCATTCTCAATACTTGACACGTGTTCATTGATATAACCATAGTTAACTCATTGCTTTGTATAGAGCCATGGCTGTGTCAATGAACATATGTCAAGTGTTGAGAAGAATGGTACAGGTACACTTTGACTAAAGAGGTGAGCAAAAATGCTCTCTTGACAATTAACCTCTTGTGCATTTTAATTAGATTAATAAAAGGGTGGTTGAGGGACTAGAAATTCCATAGCAGAAATAAAATTGCCAAATACGTTAAAGAAAGAGGCGCATGTTGTCGCTTTTACTTGGCAGTGAACTCTTGTTAAAAAATTTAATAATTTTATGTTCTTTGGAGGAATACAAAATAAGAAACTTGTATTTAGTCACAATTTTGTTGTGAACCGGTTTTTGCCTTGCACAAGTTTTGAATGACAAGTTGCTTCGGGTGCTTGATGAATGTGGGTGTGTTTTATGAATAGATTGATGCATCATATCTATTTCAATGAAAGGTTATACGTATTTAATCGCCTGTGATAATTAAGCTATGACTCATATGGCAATTATCTTATCTAAACAGTTGTGGTCAGGAAATAGTTAGCCCTGAATTTGAAGAATGAATTCGTTTATTTATTTTGGTGGATGTTTAGGATCAGTCTGGCATTGCTGTGTTATTGAAATAATCATTGTCGAATTTGTTGGAAGGGAAATCAACTGTGAAAGAAATTAGTTTGGTGTTTGGTAAACTTTTTGTTAAAAGGGACGATGATACAATAATCAATTTACGAGTATTTGATAAATTTGTGTGTAAAAGTGTTGTGAGCTATGTACAATAACTTAAAAAGGGCAAGTGTTATTTTAAATTGCAATACCTAAAAACTAAATGTTATCAAACCAATTAGAAAACTCAATTATTGGAATTTACAACCCAAAATCTTCAGTGCCCTCTTCTTGCATGTTCATTAATAATTCACACCATTTAACTCAATGGCCAACAACCAATTGCCATTAAAAGAGTCTAGATTGTTGTGGTTTTCCATTATCAAATAGCATAGGGAAAGAGGACAATTCAAACACGCATACACTCACAACCACCATAGTTCTTCTTCCATTCACTTTGAACCTCCCTCCAGATGCGTTATGTGGCATCCTTGTTCTTCTATTTTTATTTTTTAATTTTTAATTACTAGCTTTTCATTGAAGCCCAGAAAAAGAGTAAACAAAATACACCAGGAATCCACAAAAAAACAGGGGGATACAATCTTGAGAATACAAGGTAACAAGTAAATGAGAAACAACTTAAACTTTAGATCACTCTGCTGGACTGAATATCCATAATTATGAAATTGAACTGATGACTGGATCCAATCTGGGGATTTGAAGGACTATCAGAATTTGTTATTTGTTGAGAACTAGTAGCGCAACCAAGGTCAACAAGAAACAAAAGGAACTCAACTAGAAACAGCGAAGATAAGATTTTACCATATGAGGCAGGAGAATAATGCATGGGCAAGTGCTGCAGAGTGATATTGAGTAAAACCTTGTTTGAGAATACAACCTAGAAATTTAAAGAGAAGGAGAAGAGTGAAAAAATAAGAAAAAAATCTTAGATCTTGGTCGTAGGAATCCTGCATTCAAATTACAGAAGAAAGGTCTGAAGATAAGGAAAAAATAAAGAAGTGGCTAGTAATCGCCAGAGAAAAGGAAGGAGCCATTGAGGAATACACTGGCAAAACTGAAGAGGACAGTAGATGTAAAAGATTTTAGAGAGTTGGATCAGTAGTCCATTACTAGCAACAACGATATTGTTCTCAACTTATCCACCTACAAAGTCCAATAGATGTGAAGTTTTATCACAAAAGGTCTCGGTGATATTAATAGTGAAACCATTAATTATATGTTGTATTTTATTTAGTTAAGTTCTAATATAAGATTCATATTCTTCAATATATGGTTGTAAAATATCATTCACTAAAACTTTGAGAAAGCTTGTACAAAGTAGAGGAGGACCATTCAAGAAAGTTGGAGATGAGCAGAAGTCTTGTGAAAAGGTTTTGTGGTGTCAGATTGTTATGTATCTAGTTTTATATCGTCCATAATATCAGCCTATCTAAAATTCTGTCGGACACAAAGTTAAATTATTACATATATGATGTTGACTACTTTGGCTGTGTGTAACCAAATGATCATATGGGCATTCATCGCAAAGGCCCTATAAAATCCTTCACCCATATGTTTCACTAACTCATAGATATATCTTAAACATTTTTCTGTGAGCCAATAAATGGGCGATTCAACCCCTCTTCTCTCCGAACTCAACTCGGCCGAGTCAGAACCCCCATTGTTGCACAAACACGTTCCCTCCCTAGACTCCACGATCGAACGGTGCATCGGAGATTTCGGGTGGGCCCAATTCCTCCAAGCCATCCTTGTATCGTTTTCATGGTTCTTTGATGCCCAACAAACCTTCATCACCGTCTTCACAGACGCCGAGCCAACATGGCACTGCACCCAACTCGATGATCCTAACAACTCATGCCACTCAGCCTCAAACGTTTGCCAACTTCCTCAAAATTCATGGGCTTGGGACTGGCCAAGACACACTTCCACCATCTCCGAATGGGCCCTGCAGTGTTCACCGTCACTCGTCCAGGGTATGCCCGCCTCAGCCTTCTTCATGGGTTGCTTAATAGGCGGGCTTGCCTTGGCCACACTTGCTGACACGTCACTGGGCCGCAAAAACATGCTCTTCCTCACTTGCCTCGTCATGTCTTTGTCCACCTTTCTCACTGCCTTCTCCTCCAACATATGGATCTACTCCATCCTCCGATTCATCACTGGATTTGGTCGTGCTACCATCGGCACCTCTGCTCTTGTCCTATCAACGGAGCTTGTTGGGAGGAGGTGGCGTGGCCAGGTAGGTGTCATTGGATACTTCTGCTTCACTCTAGGGTTTCTATCCCTACCAGCTATTGCATACACTCAACGAGCTCATTCATGGAGAACACTCTATTTTTGTACTTCCATCCCTACATTCTTGTATTGCATAATGGTTCATTTCTTGGTTCGTGAGTCACCAAGATGGCTCTTCGTTCGAGGCCGCAAAGAAGAAGCAATTGCAACACTAAAACACATTGCACCCATCAATGGTACTAGTACTAAAACACCACTCACATCTAGCTTCTTTTCGAACTTGTCCTTTGAGCAAGAAACAAGGAACGTTGATCTCTACTCGGCGATCAAAGTTCTGGTGAAGAGAAGATGGGCTTTTCGGAGATTGTCCGCGCTTATGGCAATAGGGTTTGGTGTTGGAATGGTATATTATGGAATGCCATTAGCCTTGGGAAGCTTGGACTTCAATCTCTACTTAAGTGTCACGTTCAATGGCTTGTCAGAGCTACCAGCTTCGTTAATCACATTAGTTTTCATTGCCAAAATGAACAGGAAGACCTCACTTTTGGTTTTCACTAGTTTTAGTGGGGTGTTTAGCATCATGTCCGTGTTGAAAGGAATTCATCCAATATGGACAACAATACAAATTGTGTTCGAGCTTGTGTCTTTTTTCAGCGCCTGCTCGGCTATCAATATCTTGCTAATATTTACGGTTG